TTTTAAAGTAGGCTCCACATCCAACATGGAGCCCAACACAGGGCTTGAACTCATGGCTGTGAGATCAAGACCTGAGCCAAGATCAAGAGTCAGACAGTTAACCGACTGAGCCAGCGTCCCTTGTAAAGTTACATTGTGAGTGGGCGTTAGATAAAAGTAAATACAGTCAAATCTGAATAACATCAAACTGGATCATCTGAAGTCCTCTGGGATTCAGTCTTCCCTCCCTGCCCATCTAGTCAGGCCCCAGCCTATCAGTGACTCTGAGTGACAGAGATAAAACAGGGGGACAGAGTGGATGCTGGGACTGAACAAGGCAGAAAGGAGTTATATGTGTATTAAAAATATGCCTAAATATTTTTATAATGTTATGGATTTTTTTCCTATTCATAGCACCATCCGTTTCCATGGTATCCCCCAACACGGATGAGTTTTTAGACCTTCTTGCCAGCTCACAGAGTCGCCGTCTTGATGACCAGAGGGCCAGTTTCAGTAATTTGCCAGGGCTTCGTCTGACACAAAACAACAATAAGTCTGTCCTTGGCCACCTGATGACTAATGACAACAAAGAGCCTGATGAAGACTTCTTTGACATCCTTGTAAAATGTCAAGTATGTATGCATATTGTGTCAGTCTGTGTATGCCTCAGATGCTGTTGGGAGCTTTGTCAGTATTATAATTCTAATTTGGGAAAGGCTCATTTTGTATCAGGGACACACTTATTATTCAGGGGCCCATCACACACTATATACATCCCTGTGATGGCTTTTTACTTTATTTTGGGTGGTGAGGCGAGGTGAGATGTTGCTGATGACTCTCTGAGCTGTGCTGGAGAGGAGACTGTGAAGGATATAAAAGGAGACCTAGAAAAGAGCCCCCCTCAAAAAAAAAAAAAAAAGCCCCCTTTTCTAAATGTTAGGAGAAAGCATTGGGAGCAGCCAGTGATTAATATGGGAAGAGTCTAGCTGGGGCCCTCGTTAGAGAACTTTAGGAGTAATGCACATATTGAGATAGCTTTCATTTTTTAGTTATTTTAATAATTATTTGCCAGAATGGTTAAGGAATATCTCAAATGGCTTGAAGAGGACCACAAGAAAAATAACCGTTATTTTTACTAAAGAGACATTTCCTCTGCCCAACCCTAATTCTGTGTGTTTTCTCATCCTTAAAAAGATGAGGTGATGACACATATACTATCCACCTGTCATTCATTCAACAGAAAATTATTGAGCATCTGTAATGTTCTCTGCACTATTCTAGACATTTGAGACACATACTTGGCTTTTAAAGGATCCTACATTTTAGTGTGAGAGATAGTAAAAAGTCTGTACATGTGTATAGATATTCTAGGTCAGTTACTTGTAAGGTGCTATAAAGAAAATTAAAGCAAGATAAAGGAGTGGGGTATCCAGGGGTGGTGGTGGTTAGGGAAGATGTTTCAGGATTGGCATATGAACAGACATCTGCATGAGGTGAAATAGTCAGCCATGTGAATATTTAGTGAAAGTGTTCCATGCAGAGACAACAAGTCTCTTCTTGGATATACAAGGATAAGGGAGAGTGGTAGGAGATAAGGTTGGAGAAATAACTAGCCTATATCTTATAGGCCATGATGAGGTCTTGTATTCCAAATGTGATAGGAAGACATTGGACGGTCTGAAAGCATGTGGAGTGGCACAGGGTGTTAGTAGAAAGACCAGCTAGAAAAACCAATATGGGTAATTCAGGCAGAAGATATTGGTGACTTTGACTAGTGTAGTGGTGGCAGTAGTAATGATGATAAGCAGTCAGAAGAGGGGTGTATTTCTGAAGTCACGGTTGACTGGAAAGACCTGTTAATAAACTGGATGGAGGGGAGGGTATAAGAATCAAGGCAGGCTCCTACCTTTTTGGCTTTGCACTCAGTCAGTGAATGGTACGGTTTACTGAAATGGGGAAGAAAAAGCAGTTCTACTTTAGATACATCAATTTGAGTTATGTAAGTAGATACTCAAGTGGCGATGTTGAGTAGGCAATTGGATATAAAAAATCTGGAGTCCCAGAGAGAAAAGATTTTTGGGAGTCATCAGCATATAGCTGGTATTAAAGCCTTGGGAAGATAGTATCTAAAGAATAGATAAATATGAAGACTAAGCCCTGGGAATTCCAAAATCTAACTGAACAGAGAAAGGTAAGCCAGCAAAGCAGCAGTCAGCCCAGAGAGTGATAGAAGCAAACTGAAGAAAGTGTTTTAAGAACCCTGCTAAGAAGCCAAGTAAGATGATGGCTGATCTACTAGATTTGGCAACATGGAGATTATTAGTCATTTTTAGTGACATGATGGGGACAAAGGATTGAGGGGATTGAGAACATGGAAAGTGTAAAAGGGGAGATAGTGGGGTTTTTTTTTCTTTTGGGAGTTAATACTGCATAAATGATCAAGTAGAGGGAGGAACAAGTGATGCAGCATAGTATGGGATAGTTGAAGTTTTTGCACAGGTGAAAAGGAATGCAGAGTATATGTCTACAGATGTGGAGGTAGTTGTACGTAGGAATTCTCTCTGGTGGCTTTTATTTTGTTACAAAGTAAGAAGTAGGGCCATTAGTGGAGATTGTGGAACATGACCAGGGAAAAGTAAGAGAATTATTGAGCTACCCTGAGGACTCATTTGTCAGTAGAGTGGTATATTTTCTTTGGGTATAACCAACTGCTTAAGAATACAGAGATTTAATCAAGGTCAGTATTTTGACAGAATAGGATGGAGGGGGAGAGAAGTACATACCAGGGAATTACTTTAATAAGGGACTTTGGAATCTAGGCTGCATCTAAGGAGGGAAGTAAGGAAATAAAAGGTATGGAAGTGAAAATTAACAGCGATCCCAGTGGCTTTAAGAAATACTGAAGACACGTCCCTAATAACAGACAATCAACATATATGAAGCAAAAATTAACAGAACTGAAGGGAGAAATGAACATTTCTAAAAATAGCTGAAGGTTTCAAGACCCCCCCCCCCCAATAACAGGACAACCAGGCAGATGATAAACTTGAACAACACAGTAGGCTAACTACCTCTTACTTTTCAAGTGCACATGGGATATTCTCCAGGAAAGACCATATGTTAGGGCCACAAAGTAAGTCTCAACAATTTTAAAAGACAGACCACGAAAGGATGAAGTTAGAAGCAATAACAGAAGGAAAAATGGAGAATTCACAAATTTGTGGAAATTAACCAGTAAGTAAAGAGGAAATCACAAGGGAAATTAGAAACTACCTAGAGACTGATGAAAATAACACAATATTCTCAGTGAAGGCAGTATTCAGGAAAATTTTATAGCTGTAATAAGGAAAATCTCAAATTAACAACCTAACTTCACAGCATAAGGGGCTAGAAAATGAACTAAACCTAAAACTAGCAGAAGGAAGGAAATGGAGAACAGAAAAATAGAAAAAAAAAATCAAATCTTAAAGCTGGTTATTTGAAAAGTTTAACAAAACTGGTAAACAGAGAAGCCTCAAATTACTAAAATTAGAAACAAAGGTGGGGCCATTACTCATATTCCACAGAAATAATAATAATTTTAGGAGAATACTATGAATGATTATGTTGGATAACCTGTATGAAATGGATAAATAACTAGAAACACAAAATCATCCAACACTGAATCATGAATAGAAAATAGACCCATAATTAATCCATAAGGAGATTATATCAGTAATCAAAAACCTCCTGACAGACAAAGAAAAGCCCCAGACCTGATGGCTTCACTGGTGAATTCTACCACACATTTAAAGAAGAACACCAGTCCTCATACTCTTCCAAAAAACTGAAGAGAAGGGAATACTTCCTATTCCTAAGTCATTCTATGAGGCCAATATTGTCTGATACCAAAGCCAGACAAGACACTACAAGAAAACTTGAGACCAATATCCTTTTTGAATATAGATGCAAAAATCATCAATAAAATACTAGCAAACAGAATCCAGTAAACGGATTATACACCATGCCCAGGAGGGATCTGTTCCTGGAATGCAGGTATGGTTCAACATAGGGGAATCAATCAATGCAACACATACACATTAATAGAATGAAAGCGGAAAAAACCACTTGATCATCTAAATGAAGAAAAAGCATCTGACAAAATTTAACACATTTTCATGTTAAAAACACTCAACAAACTAGGAATAGTAAGAAACTACCACAACATAATAAAAGTCATTTATGAGGGGTGCCTAGGTGACTGAGTCAGTTGCAGTGTCTAACTTGATTTCAGATCAGGTCTCAGTATTGTGGGATCGAGCCCCATGTGGGGCTCTGCACTCAGCATGGAGTCTCCTTGTCCCCCTCCCTGTGCCCTTCACCCTGTGCACATGTGCACACGAATAGATTAAAAAAAAAATCATTTATGAAATATCCACAGCTACCATCATACTCAGTGGTAAAAGAAAAAAACTATTCTCTAAGATCAAGACAAGGAGTCCACTTTCACCACCTCTATTCAACATAATATTGGAACTTCTAGTAGAGCAATTAGGCAAGAAAAAAAATCCAGATTGGAAAGGAAAAAAATTATCTCTGTCAGAAATGAGTCTTAGATATAGAAAACCCTAAAGATTTCACCAAAGCCCACAAAAAACCCTGTCAGAACTAAGAAACAAATTCAGCAAAATAACAGGATACAAAATTAATATCCAAATATCAGTTGTATTTCCATACACTAACAATGATGAACAAGTTATTACAAGTTATTGGGAGGGGGGGAAATTAACAATTTTTGTAATAGCATCAAAAAGAATAAGCTACCCAAGAATGAACTTAACCAGGGAGGTTAAAGACTTGAACAATGAAAACTATAAAATGTTTCTGAAAGACATGAAAACCTCATAAATAATATGGAAAAAAACTCACGTTCATGGATTATAAGACTTAATATTGTTAAAATGCCAATACCACCCAGAGTGTAATCTACAGATTCAATGCATTCCTTATCAGAATGTAAATAAGGTTTTTTAAAGAAACAGAAAATTCCACCCTGAGATTCCACAGGAACCCAAATAACTGAAACAATCTTGAGCAAGCAGAACAAAGTTGGAGGCCTCACATATCCTGATTTCAAATTTTACTACGAAGCTACAGTAGTCAGTTATGGTACTGGCATAATTACAGACATATACACCAATAGGAAAGAGAGCCCAGAAATAAATCCTTGAATATGTGGTCGAATGATTTTCAGCAGGTATGCTACGACTATTAAATGGGGAAAGGATTCTCATCAACAAATGATTCTGGGAAAACTATCCACATGCAAAAGAATGAAGCTGGACCCTTACCTAATACCATATATAAAAACTGATTCAGAATGGATCAAAGACCTAAATGTAAGAGCTAAGACTATAAAATCTGTAGAAAACGTTAAGGGGAAAGCTTCAAGATTTTGGATTTGGCAGTGATTTCTTAGTTATGACACCAAAGGCACAGGCAACAAAAGAAGAAACAAACTGGACGTCATGAAAATTGCAGTGTCTAACTTGATTTCAGATCAGGTCTCAGTACTGTGGGATCGAGCCCCATGTGGGGCTCTGCACTCAGCATGGAGTCTCCTTGTCCCCCTCCCTGGATCAAACAATTTTACAAAAGTAAAAAGGCAACTCACAGAAAATATTTGCACATGATATAAACGATAAAGGATTAATTCAGAATATAGAGAACTCTAAAACTTAACTACAAAAAAAGCTATTTCAGCAACGGGCAGGGGCGCCTAGGTGGCTCAGTCGGTTAAGTGACCAACTCTTGATCTCAGCTCAGGTCATGATCTCAGGGTCATGATACTGTGCCCCATGTTGGGCTCTGTGCTAGGCGTGGAGCCTGCTTTAAGATTCTCTCTGCCACTCCCCCCCACCCCCCGCCAAAGAATCCAAACAGACATTTCTCCAAAGAAAATATACAAATGGCCAATAATCACAGGAAGGGATGCTCAACATCACAAATCATTAGAGAAATGCAAATCAAAACCATAACGAAATACCATCTCACACCCATTAGGAAGCTATCATTAAAAAAAAAAAAAAAACCCACCAGAAAACAAGCATCAGTGAGGATGTGGAGAAATTGGAACTGTCAGTGCACGGTAGGTGGAAATAGAAAATGGTGGAGCTGCTATAAAAACAGTATGGTGGGATTTTCCAAGATGGCGGAGGAATAGGAGAACTCAGTTTGGTCCCAGAAATTCTGCTACATATCCATCAAATCATTCTGAACACCTGTGAACTCCCCCAGAGATCTAAGAAAAAGAATTGCTACAATTCTACAAATAGAAAGGCAACCACACAAGATGGAAAAACTCACCTCAGAAGAGGCAGTAATGACTTACCAGGGACCTACTCAATATAGATATAAGTAAGACATTGGAACTAGAGTTCAGAATAACAATTACAAAGACACTAGCTGGGCCTGAAAAAAGCATAGAAGATACTAGAGAATTTCTTTCTGGAGAAATAAAGGAACTAAAATCTAATCAGGTTGAAATCAAAAGGCTATCAGATGCAATAAAAAAATGGAGGCTCTAACTGCTAGGGTAAATGAGGCAGAAGAGAATTAGTGATAATGAGGACAAAATCATAGGGAATGAGAAGCTGACAAAAACAGATAACTACTGGATCATGAGAGAAGAATTTGAGAGATAAGGGATACCAGAAAGTGAAACAATATTAGATTAATTGGGATCCCAGAAAAGGGGGGGGGGGGCGTGCAAATTATAGCTGAGAACTTTCCTAATCTGGGGAAGGAAACAAGCATTCAAGTCCAGGAGGCACAGAGAACCCCCCCCCCCAAATCAATAAAAATAGGTCAACACCTCAACATATAATAGTGAAGCTTGCAAATCTCAGAGACAGAGGAAATCCTGAAAGCAGCTCGGGACAAGAGGTCTATAACCTAAAATGGAGAAACATTAGACTGGCAGCAGACCTGGCAGGCCAGAAAGGACTGGCATGATATATTCAGAGCACTAAATGAGAAATATGTAGCCAAGAATACTTTATCCAGCTAGGAAGTCATTCAAAATAGAAGGAGAGATCATAAAGCTTCCAGAAAAAAACAAAGAATTTGTGATCACTAAACCAGCCCTGCAAGAAATATTAAAGGGGATCCTTTAAGCGAAGAGAGAGCCCAAAAGTAACATAGACCAGAAAAGAACAGAGATAATATACAGAGACAGTGACTTTATAGGTAATTCAATGGCACTAAATTCCTATCTTTCAATAGTTACTCTGAATGTCAATGGGCTAAATGCCCCAATCAAAAGACAGGGTATGAGAATTGGATAAAAAAGAAAGACCCATTGATGGCTGTCTGCAAGAGACTCCTTTTAGACCCAGAGACACCTCCAGACTGAAAGTGAGGGGGTGGAAAACCATTTACCATGCTAATGGACATCAAAGAAAGCTGGGGTGGCAATCCTTAGACAAATGAAATTTTAAAAAAATTTTTTTTAAAGATTTATTTATTTGAGAGAGAGAGAATGACAGAGAATACATGAGGGGCGGAGGGTCAGAGGGAGAAGCAGACCCCCCGCTGAGCAGGGAGCCTGATGTGGGACTCAATCCCGGGACTCCAGGATCATGACCTGAGCCGAAGGCAGTCGTTAAACAACTGAGCCACTCAGGCGCCCCTGAAATTTTAAATTTAAACCAAAGATGGTAATAAGAGATGAGGAAGGACACTATATTAAAGAGTCTATCCAACAAGATTAACAATTGTAAATATTTATGCCCCTAACATGGGAGCAGCCAATTATATAAACCAATTATTAACAAAACTGAAGAAACACACTGATAACAGTACAGTAATAGGAGGGGACTTAAGATTTATTTATTTGAGAGAAAGAACAAAGAAAGCACAGGAGAGGTGGGGAGGGGGAGAGAGAGAAGCAGACTCCCCACTGAGGAAGTCTGGGCTCAATCCCAGGGTTCCAACTCAGGGCTGAATCCCAGGACCCCAAGATCTATGGCCTGAGCTGAAGGCAGAAACTTAACTGACCGAGCCCCCAGGCACCCCAATAGTAGGGGACTTTAACACCCCACTCACTACAGTGCACAGATCATCTAAGCAGAAGATCAACAAAGAAAAAACGGCTTTGAATGACACACTGGACTAGATGGATCTCACAGATATATTCAGAGCATTCCATCCTAAAGCAGAATGCATTTTTTTTTTTTTAAGATTTTTATTTATTTATTTGACAGACATAGCGAGAGAAGGAACACAAGCAGAGAGAGTGGTAAAGGGAGAAGCAGGCTTCCCGCTGAGCAGGGAGCCTGATGCAGGGCTCGATCCCAAGACCCTGGGATCATGACCTGAGCCGAAGACAGACGCTTAACAACTGAGCCACCCAGGTGCCCCCCCCCCCTTTTAAGATTTTATTTATTTGACAGAGCACAAGCAGGAGGAACGGCAGGGAGGGGGAGAAGCAGGCTCCCTGCTGAGTAAGGAGCCAGATGCGGGACCTGATCCCAGAACCCTGGGATCATCACGACCAGAGCCGAAGGCAGACACTTAACTGACTAAGCCACCCAGATACCCCAGAATACACATTCTTCTTGAGTCCACATGGAACATTCTCCAGAACAGATCACATACTGGGTCACAAATCAGGTCTCAACTGGTACCAAAAGACTGGGATACCCTGAATATTTTTGGACCACAATGCTTTGAAACTGGAACTCAATCACAAGAGGAAATTTGGAAAGAACTCAAATACTTGGAGGTTAAAGAGTATCCTACTACAGAATGAATGGGTCAACCAGGAAATTAAAGAAGAATTTTTAAAATTCATAGAAACAAATGGAAAATGAAAAAACCTTTGGGATGCAGCAAAGGCGGTCCTAAGAGGGAAGTATGTAGCAATACAAGCCTTTCTCAAAAAGTAAGAAAGGTCTCAAATATACAACCTTACCTTACACCTAAAGGAGCTTAAGAAAGAATAGCAAATAAAGCCTAAACCCAGCAGGAGAAGAGAAATAATAAAGATTAGAGCAGAAATCAATGAAATAGAAATCAAAAGAACAGTAGAGCCGATCAACGAAACTAGGAGCTTGTTCTTTGAAAGAGTTATTAAGATCAATAAACCCCTAGCCAGACTTATCAAAAAGGACCCAAATTAATAAAATCATGAATGAAAGAGGAGAGATCACAACCAACACTAACGAAATATAAACAATTGTAAGAACGTATGATGAGCAACTATATGCCAACAATTCAGGCAATCTGGAAGAAATGGATGTATTCCTAGAGGCATATAAACTACCAAAACTGAACCAGGAAGAAATAGAAAACCTGAACAGACCCATAACCAGCAAGGAAATTGAGGCAGTCATCAAAAATCTCCCAACAAACAAGAGTCCAGGGCCAGATGGCTTCCCAGGGGAATTCTACCAAGCATTTAAAGAAGAATTAACACCTATTCTTCTGAAACGGTTTCAAAAAATAGAAATGGAAGGAAAACTTCCAAACTCATTCTGTGAAGCCAACATTACCTTGATTCCAAAACCAAAGACCCCACTAAAAAGAATTACAGACCAATATCCCTGGTAAATATGGATGCAAAATTCTTACCAAGATACTAGCCAATAAGCTCCAACAGTACATTAAAAGGATTATTCACCATGACCAAGTGGGATTTATCCCTGGGCTGCAAGGTTGGCTCAACATCTGCAAATCAATGTGATACATTAATAAAAGAAAGAACAAGAACCATATGATCCTCTCAATAGATGCAGAAAGAGCATCTGACAAAGTACAGCATCCTTTCTTGATTAAAACTCTTCACAATGTAGGAATAGAGAATATCATAAAAGCCATATACGAAAAGCCCACAGTGAGTATCATTCTCAATGGGGAAAAACTGAAAGCTTTTCCCCTAAGGTCAGGAAAACGACAGGGATGTCCACTCTTAACACTGTTCAGCATAGTACTAGAAATCCTAGCCTCAGTAATCAGAAAACAAAAAGAAATAAAAGGCGTCCGAATTGGCAAAGAAGAAGTCAAACTCTCACTCTTTGCAGATGACATGATACTCTATGTGGAAAAGTCATACAGGAATTAGCAAAGTGGCAGAATGTAAAATCAGTACACAGAAATCACCTGCATTTCTATACACTGAAAAAGAAGGAAGAGAAATTAAGCAGTCGATCCCATTTACAATTGCACCCAAAACCATAAGATACCTGGGAATAAACTTAACCAAAGAGGCAAAGGATCTGCACTCAGAAAACTATAAAACACTCCTGAAGGAAACTGAGGAAGACACAAAGAAATGGAAAAACAAATATTGTTAAAATGTCTGTGCTACCTAGGGTAATCTATACATCCAATACAATCCCTATCAAAATACTATCAACTTTTCTCACAGAGCTGGAACAAATAATCCTAAAATTTGTATGGAACCACAAAAGACCCCAAATAGCCAAAGGAGTGTTGAAAAAGAAAACCAAAGCTGGTGGCATCACAGTCCTGGACTTCAAGCTGTATTACAAAGCTGTCATCATCAAGACAGTATGGTACTGGCACAAAAGCAGACACATAGATCAATGGAACAGACTAGAAAACTCAGAAATGGACCCTTAACTCTATGGTCAACTAATCTTCGACAAAGCAGGAAAGAATACCCAATGGGAAAAAACCCATCTCTTCAACAAATGATGGTGGGAAAATTGGACAGCCACATGCAGAAGAATGAAACTGGATCATTTTCTTACACCATACATCAAAATGGATGAAAGACCTAAATGTGAGACAGGAATCCATCAAAATTCTAGAGGAGAACACAGGCAACAACCTCTGTGATCTCGGCCACAGCAACTTCTTGCTAGACACGTCTCCAAAGGCAAGGGAAACAAAGACAAAAATGAACTATTGGGACTTCATCAAGGTAAAAAGCTTCTGCACAGCAAAGGAAAACAGTCGACAAAACCAAAAGACAACTGACAGAATGGGAGAAGATATTTGCAAATGACATATCAGATAAAGGGCTAGTATCCAAAATCTGTAAAGAACTTATCAAACTCAACACCTAAAGAACACATAATCCAATCAAGAAATGGACAGAAGAGGGGTGCCTGGGTGGCTCAGGTTCAGCATCTGCCTTCGGCTCTGGTCATGATCAGATCTGGTCCTAGAATCAAGCCCCCTGCCGGGCTCCCTGCTCAGCAGGGAACCTGCTTCTCCCTCTCCCTCTGCAGCTCTCCCTGCTTGTGCGCTTGCTAATAAAATCTTTTAAAAAAAATTTTTTTTAGGGCACCTGGGTGGCTCAGATGGTTAAGTGTCTGCCTTCGGCTCAGGTCATGATCCCAGGGTGCTGGGATCAAGTCCCGCATCGGGCTTCCCGTTCCTTGGGAGCCTGCTTCTCCCTCTGTTTCTCTCTGTCTCTCATGAATAAATAAATAAAATCTTTAAAAAAAAAAAAAAAAATTTTTTTTTTTAAATGGGCAGAAGGCATGAACAGACATTTCTCCAAAGGCAACATATAAATGACCAACAGACACATGAAAAAATGCTCAGCATCAGGAAAATATGAATCAAAACCACAATGAGAGGGCGCCTGGGTGGCTCAGTCGTTAAGCGTCTGCCTTCAGCTCAGGTCATGATCCCAGGGTCCTGGGATCGAGTCCCGTGTCGGGCTCCCTGCCTGGCGGGGAGCCTGCTTCTCGCTCTCCCACTCCCCCTGCTTGTGTTCCTGCTCTCGCTCTCTGTCAAATAAATAAATAAAATCTTAAAAAAAAAAAAAAAAAAAACCACAATGAGATACTACCTCACACCAGGTCAGCCATTTAGTCAGAATGGCTAAAATTAACAAGTCAGGAAATGACAGATGTTGGTGAGGATGTGGAGAAAGGGGAACCCTCTCACACCGTTGGTGGGAATGCAAGCTGGCGCAGCCCCTCTGGAAAACAGTATGGAGGTTCCTCAAGAAGTTGAAAATAGAGCTACTGTACGACCCAGCAATTGTACTACTGGGTATTTACCCCAAAGATACAAATGTAGTGATCCGAAGGGGCACCTGCACTCCAATGTTTATGGCACCATTGTCCACAATAGCCTAAACTATGGAAAGATCCCAGATGTCCATTGACAGATGAATGGATACAGAAGATGTGGTATATATATACACAATGGAATACTCTCAGCCATCAAAAAAAATTAAATCTCGCCATTTACAGTGCTGTGGCTGGAACTAGAGGGTATTACGCTAAGTGAAATAAGTCAATCAGAGAAACAATTATATGATCTCACTCATAGTGGAATTTATTATTAACAGGATCATAGGGGAAGGGAGGGAGAAATAAGACAAAATCAGAGGGAGACAAACCATAAAAGACTCTTAACTATAGGAAACAAACAGGGTTACTAGAGGGGAGGAGATTGGAGGGATGGGGTAACTGGGAGATGGACATTAAGGAGGGCATGTGATGTAATAAACACTGGGTGTTATATACAACTGAAGAATCCTTGGACTCTACTTATGAAACTAGTAATATGTTAATTAATTGAATTTAAATTAAAAGAAAAAAATAAGCTTAACAGTGTTCCTTGTCAGCAAGCCTGATGAAAAACTGAATAATGAGACAATGGAAACCAAGACTGCCTTTAAGAAATTCTCAAGATTAAAACTCAGCTTAAATGTTAAAAAAAAAAAAAACAAGGGGCGCCTGGGTGGCTCAGTCGGTTAAGCGTCTGCCTTTGGCTCAGGTCATGTTCCCAAGGTCCTGGGATGGAGCCCCGCGTCAGGCTCCCTGCTCAGCGGGAAGCCTGCTTCTCCCTCTCCCTCGGCCTGCCACTCTCCCTGCTTGTGCTCTCTTTCTCTCTCAAATAAATAAAATCTTTAAAAAAAAAAAAAAAAAAGTATGGTGGTTCCTTAGAAAGTTGAAAATTACCATATTATCCAACAATCTCATTTCTGGGCATATATAACCCAAGCAGTTGAAATCATGGATATGATATTTGTACACCAATGTTCAAACAGCATTATTCACAATAGCCAAAAGATAGAGGCAACCAAGTGCCCATTGGTAGGTGGATAAAATGTATATACCTACACAGTGGAATATTTTTCATCCTTAAAAATGAGGAAAATTCTGAAACAAGCCACAACATGGGTGAACCCCGAAGGCATTATGCTGAGAAGCAGGCAGTCAGAGGAGGACAAATACTATACAGTTCCACTCATATGAGGTAAAGTAGTCAGATTCATAGAGACAAAATAGAATGGTGGTTGCCAGGGGCTGGAGAGGGGAGAATGGGAGCTACCGTTTAAAGGTTTCAAGTTTTGGTTTTACAAGATGAAAATGTTCTGGATATGGATGGTGATGACCACACAGCAGGATGAATGTGCTTAATACTAAACTGTACATTTAAGAATGGTTAAAGTGGCAAACTTTTACAATTTAAAAAAAAAGTTTCCTGGGGGATTACTGTCTAGGCTGATCTGGAAAATTGGAGGTGGCAGTCAACATGGGATGCTTGAAATCATGCTTGTAAAGACAATGCGATTACTGAGAGTGGCCAAGTCTGGCCTATGACCACGGGAGCTAATGGATAAGGCAGAGGTAAAGAATGAAGACCAGAAGAGAAGAGGTCTAGGGACCCCAGTGCCCAAGTGTTGGATGAGTTGGAGGACAGTGAAATCACCACAGCATAAAGGCAGGAGAAATGAAGCGTGAGCCGGGTGCATGTGTGTGGCGGGGCGGCCGCTCAGGAGGAGGCCTGTGAGGGTCCCAGGGCTGCGGGGTTAAATGTGAAGGCAGGTCAGTGCACAGTGCCCAGCAAGAGTGGGCACTCCAACGTCAGCCTGCATATTCCCACGCTGGAGCTTACAATACCAGACACTCTATGTACACTTTTAAGTGCTTATATTTTTTAGTTGATCAATAACATTTCTAATGTACTTCTAAAATAAGGATCGGTAAGTTAAAACTTCAAGGAAAAAATCTGGGCTATTTAACACATTTAAATGCTTAAGACAGGGCTAGACAGAGAACATTTTAGGCTTTTCAGGCCCCATGGTCTTTGTCACAACTGCTCAACTCTGCTGTTGTAGCTGGCAAGCAGCCACACGCAGTTCATCAACAAATGAGCATTGTGGTGAAATGAAAAGGAAACGTTATGTACAAAAACAGGAAAAGAACACAGTAAGATGGGACAGAGTAGAGCCTAGTCTAAGGGTGAATTCTAGAACGCAAATGCCCATACCCAGAACAAGTTGGCAACTCATTCACCTCTGGTTGCTTCTGATTCTGCACAGCTGGGATGGTATCTGGGGCTCTGTTCTTTCTAAAAATCCCTCAGGTGACTTGGTGGGCAGTGAGAACCACTTCTCCAAATGGTCCTTCCCAGAAAGTGGGTTCCGGTTTGCTGACCCCTGGCCTGACACAGAATTTGTAAGGTAGTGCTGCAGGGTTTTTGTACCTAACATTCTAAGGATATGAGAAGTTGTATTTGCCAGTGCCTACTCTGTAATATTTGACCTTGTATCTTAATCTTACCAAAGCCATGATGTTACACTTCTACATAATACTTGCTAGATTCTGATTATGGAAGTCATGGCAAAAGTTTGTTTTTTTTCTAAAGATCTTATTTATTTATTTGACAGAGAGATAGCACAAGTAGGCAGAGTGGCAGGCAGAGGGAGAGGGAGAAGCAGACTCCCCAATGAGCAGGGAGCCCGATGCGGGGCTCGATCCCAGGACCCTGGGACCATGACCTGAGCCGAAGGCAGACACTTAACAACTGAGCTACCCAGGCGTCCCAATGGCAAAAGTTTTATCAGGTTTCAGGTCTGAAGATTAAATTTCTGAGACGAAGCAAAAAAAAAGTTTTTTTTCTTGTGATGACAAACATTAATGAAGTATTTGTGTTTTAATCTCTCTCATCAATTTTCAGGGGTCCAGATTAGATGATCAAAGATGTGCTCCACCACCTGCTGCCACAAAGGGACCAACAGTACCAGATGAGGACTTTTTTAGCTTGATTTTACGTTCTCAGGCAAAAAGAATGGATGAACAGAGAGTTCTTTTACAACGAGATCAAAACAGAGACACTGAATTTGAACTGAAGGACCTTTTGCAAAGTAATGCTTTGATGGAATTTAAAAATACAGGAAAAAAATAAGCAAACCGCTAGTTATTATGGGTATTTTTTTAAAACGACCTTATTTCCTTTCAGAACACTGAAGGGAAATTCAATCTATTACTTTTTCCTTAAGAGGAGAAATTATAACACTGTAATACAGCTTAAAATGCTCTAGAATGATGTAAATATTTAACCTTTAGTAGTATGATATTAACATTCCTCTGGACACGCACTTGTTGCAGGGTGGAGGAGTCTTATAAAAGGTGCTTCATCAACTTTTGTGATTAAGGCTCAGAACTGTGTTCTTTGGCAACTTGTTAGATTCCTTTACCTAGAGTTTGTAAAGTAGGAAGATAAATGAATCTAGACTAGAATTTAATCCTCTTGCTAATTTTTTTTAATCTTAATTGACAATGGCATTCTTCTATACTGAACCATGGATGTAGTGAGAAATTTTGCTGTTTAGTAAAAATAACTTACCTGACCAATGTGTAAAAAAGTTAGTCTTATTAAAAAAATCTAGATCTTTTTTTTGTTAAGAAAGTCATATTTTCAGTATGTTATTAGTTCGAAGCCATTATAAAAACTCAAAATAAACTTTCAGCATGTTTTGGGCCCTTTAATTTTAAAGTGTGTGTGTGGCTTAAAATTATACCTTCTGTTACAAAACACTGGTGTAAAATTTTTTAAGACCTAATGTCAAAACAAAACAAAACAAAACAAAACACCCGGAAAACTCATGTGGTTATATCAAGAACCTAGGCCTTGAAAATAGAAAACAGATGAAAACTCACAAAATTTAAATATGAAAGATCTAAGTTAAGCCCTCAGTCACCATTAAGCCTTCCTTCCCCCTCCCAGAAACTGAAGGTAGTTTACAAAGGTATAGAATAGGACATGACATAAAGTTAGCTTAGGAAAAGAACACAGTAAGATGGGATGGAGTAGAGCCTAGTCTAAGGGTGAATTCTAGAACGCAAATGCCCATACCCAGAACAAGTTGGCAACTCATTCACCTCTGGTTGCTTCTGATTCTGCACAGCTGGGATGGTATCTGGGGCTCTGTTCTTTCTAAAAATCCTTCAGGTGACTTGGTGGGCAGTGAGAACCACTTCTCCAAATGGCCAGTGTTCACAAAAATAAAATAGAAAGATAGTTACTCGATCTAGAATCACATCAAAGGCTCAGGGGAAAAAAAGATTATTCTTGGTTCTAAGGTCAGACAAATTTTGTCAAAAGTACTCAGTTAACACCCGGATCATCTTATGTCTTATATATTACATATACAATAGAACGTCCTAGACAATATCCTTTTAAAAACTGCACGTAAGGGGCGCCTGGGTGGCTCAGTTGGTTGAGCGACTGCCTTCGGCTCAGGTCATGGTCCTGGAGTCCCGGGATCGAGTCCCGCATCGGGCTCCCTGCTCGGCAGGGAGCCTGCTTCTCCCTCTGACCCTCCTCCCTCTCATGCTCTCTGTCTCTCATTCTCTCTCTCGCAAATAAAATCTTTAAAAAAAAAAGAAAAAAAAACCTGCACGTAAGTATCATGGGGTTTTTTCTTACCAGCATATTCAATGAGCGAAGACAGCATATCAAATTACAATAATGTAAAAATAGGTGTTTATTTTGTGTATACAATAGTTCTTAGACCCTGTAAACATTCAACATTATCTATTCCACTTAAACACTGCTTTTATAAAGCTGTCTACCCAATTCTGATTTTCCTAAAAGCCTGTTGCTAAAATTCTTGATTCTAATGATAAATATGGGCTGGACAATAAACAAGTCTATTTCCCCAAGTTATAAACTGGCCTTGATCTGTTCGGTCTGCTTTAGTGTCTTCCCTAAATTGCCGTCATCATTCAACAGCAGTGGTATGTTGCCTCGCTAGCTGTCCAAGTGGACTGCATCCCCAAACGGCTATCTGTAATGAAAGAATACAAAGATGAAATTCTACTTAATTCTTTACAGATTCATTTTTGGATAAAAAGTAGTTAGGAGTTCAAACAGCATTAACTCCACTCTCACAGTTAGTCCGTCACCTGAGGCATTCATTGCTCTTCAGAATCCCGTCACAGCTCAGAGGACAACTACCATCCTGGGCACATATTTACCAATTAGTGTGAACAGGTCTGGCCGTCAGGGAGGACTTAATATGCACCAATGTTCACGAATCCACTCCAAGCTGCAGGCATCCTTGCATTAGTTCATTTGTCCCATACCTAATTGTGTTGCAAATTTTTCTATAAAATCCTGTTGCTTTTTCTGGAAAGAACTACTACCTTTCTGATGAATTACTAAAGATGTTTGCAATATTAAACTAGAAAATAATATTAATAAATTTTACATCCTCTTGCTGAGGTAATTTTTTAAAATCTTAATTGGCAATGGCATTTTTTTATACTTAACCAGGGACATAGAGAAATTACGCTGTTTAGCAAAAATATTGTACTCGACCAATGTGTAAAGTATGTACTTGGTGGGGAAAGGGTAAAGCTATTCTCCGTCTACTGACTATGTAAGACCAAGATCACCAATTAACAAACTGTGGTAACTAAATTCTCCTGGCCATCTTCAGGTCTGTCTTAGCTGAGGGTAAAAAGGGGCGACAAGGAAGCAGGCCCAGTCAGCACTGGAAGAGTTGAGCGATGGAGGCAGGATTCGCAACGACGAAGCCATGATGAGCTGGGGCAGCCTCCGCAGAGACAAGGGGACCCAGACTCCGTGACTGCAGTAAGACGCTGAAGTGCATGAAAAGGGTAAAGCTTACGACAGTGGACTTTCCTTAAAATAGTTTCTGAGTACCTACCACTTTTGGAAACCTATCAAATCCAGTGCACAACTAACATCATTAACTAAAGTAGGTATTACAGGACATCCACTAGGCAACACACACGTCGGCTAGTTGGTATGCGTGTGAACCATAAAACTTATTTTTCAATGTTTCCTGATTCAAACTGGCCTCTTATCTGAAATCAGTGATGCTTGCCATATGTTCATCTATGAGATCCTGTTCCAAAATCAACACCACAAACTCCACAGGAGGTACCAATATGAAAATGAAATTACACAAACGATAAAAATTAAACAGAAATACATGGGTATTCGTTAGTTCTGACGGTCAATAAAAATATTCATGTTTAAGTTGGCATCTGTAGGGTAGTAAATGTCAGAATATTTGTAGAGAAGAGCAAATAGTTATGAAGAGTATACTTTACAAAACCCAAAGATGACCTCTGAGCTGTGGTCCGAGGGTGTGCTCCTCTAGCCACATGGGCCACTCTCCAGATCCTTCCCACCGCTGGCTGGCCTGGACGCGCTGCCTTCCTCTGGGCTGCCTCTGGCATCAGTCCCGAGCTGGGCCTTCTCCTCTGCAGGTGAACCTTCCACCTTCTCTGATGTGTCTGGGCCAGAGACAGGCCTACTAGACTGGCTGCTTTCGGTACTGCTTTCTAGCAGTGTGCTTTCTCCCTGGATTCCACCAAATTCTTTGGGCTTTGTATCCAAAACAGGTAATTTATGCTGTAGAGAATGACATTTTAATTTTTTAATTAACATAATGTGAAGATCAGTCATCAAACACGTTTAACAAGTTCCTATGCAAATCTGTATCAAACTCTCAACTCCTTCAAATCCCAGCTCCAGTGCTGTAATTATGTAAATGTTAGTAAGCCTCACAGAACCCTGCACGGAGGAGTGGGGGCACTCAGGATATTCCAGGTGGTCTAGCGACCCAGCTTTAGGAGAGGGCAAGAGGACAAGAGGACTGGGGACCAGTACTGCTAACTCCTCTTGCCTGGTGAGAATAATTCATTCAACAAATTATTTACTGAGCCTGTATTCAGTTCCAGGTACTGGGGAAACAGCAGGAACAAAACCAACAAAAACCCTTGCCCTCACTGGAACTTCCATTTCACTTGGGGAGACAATCAAGCAACAAATTAAAGTACCAAGCTGGGGTCAGACGACTGTTTAAATTAGGGTAATGTGGGGGCGCCTGGGTGGCTCAGTTGGTTAAGCGACTGCCTTCGGCTCAGGTCATGATCCTGGAGTCCCGGGATCGAGCCCCGCATCGGGCTACCTGCTCGGCAGGGAGTCTGCTTCTCCCTTTCCCACTCCCCCTGATTGTGTTCCCTTTCTCGCTGTCTCTCTCTCTGTGTCAAATAAATAAATAAAATCTTTTTTTTAAAGATTTTATTTATTTGAGACAGAGAGAATGAGAGAGAGAGAGCACATGAGAGGGGGGAGGGTCAGAGGGAGAAGCAGACTCCCTGCCGAGCAGGGAGCCCGATGCGGGGCTTGATCCCGGGACTCCAGGATCATGACCTGAGCCGAAGGCAGTCGCTTAACCAACTGAGCCACCCAGGCGCCCAAATAAATAAAATCTTTAAAAAATAAATAAATTAGGGTAATGTGAAAGGTGATACAGGAGTAAAGACTTAAAGAAATGAACCACATTTCGGCGTTCTAGACAGAGAACAGCAAGTAAAAAGGTTCTAATTCATGGAATAGTGAGGAGGCCCTTGTGGCTGAAGGAGAGTGAGCATAGGAGGAGAAGAAATCCATGTACTAACGGAGGTGGACTGTGGGCGGATCAAGGAAGCCCTGGGCCACCAAGAGAACTAGCTTTCCCTTTAAGTGAGATGAGAAGTCCCTGGAGACTTTGAGATGAGTGGTGCATTACCATTAACTATTAAATGAAAAGAACATCTGAAAATTTTTTAGATGTATGCAGGTATGTTTATTCTTATAAGAAACTCCACGGGAAGGGCTTCTAATTTTCTAGATTCTACTGTGCTCACAACTGTTTCTCCAAGGTTTACAGTTACAACTTAAACTCTGCAAATGACAATGTAAATTCCTCTCTCAAACAAAAACGGAAATGTCCCTTTAAATGGCCAATAACATAGAAAAAACACCTCAGCATTCTGCAGGTAGAAAGTAGAGAGTCTAGCCAATGATGCCAAGGATTTGGCAAAGCGGGCTGTGTGACCCCTCCCCACCCACTCTCCCATCCAGCTGAGCCTTTAGGGGTCTCCTGCAGGTTCCCCCAGGCTCCGGGCCTTCACTGAAGACTTTTCTCTGAGCTCTTCAAAGGCAGAAATTTCAGTCATGATTACTTGGTTTCCTATGAAATTTTGTAGGAATTACTAACCTGTTCTAACTACCGTTAAATAGGATTTAACATAAAAATTAAATCTCGTTTTAGTTCTGAGAAGGCTGAACTTTTGGCCAGAAAACAGAATAAACAATTATATTAATAATGATATAATTAACCGTGGCAGGTAAAAGAGAAGAATCGCCTAACCGGAAGCTCTACAGGAAGCACAGAGGCAGGCCTACATGAAGGACGGCAAAAGAAACAATTGCTGACTTACACTGGGTACCACCGTGGGACGCTCCCTCGCCTCTGCCTGGGGTACATCGCATGGCCGGAGCACTTCGGGGCTCTTGGTGCCAGTCCTAGGTATCAAGTCAACATCTCTCTCTCTCATACCATCTCTTCTACCCTCATATGTTCTGTCATAAGGGCCTCGCTCAAAGGGGCTGATGTGGCCTCTATAAGGGAAACGTGCATCACCTGCTCCACCATGGGGTCTATCACCAACTTCCTGTAGCCGTCCTCTATCAGCTGGCTCAAGTGCCCGGGGTGGTTCTCTTTCAGGACCACCTAAATGTCTCAGCATATTAACTGATTTTCCAGCACCATAGCAGAAACCCTAGAAGGAAAAGAAATAAATATATAGTATTTAATGGCTGACTTACAATGAAATTATTCAGGGTACTAGCAAAATTACCTAACTTGACATAATGGCATTTGGAGACATAAACATGTTTATTTCACTGTTGTTTCATTTGCGATCTCTTGTTTAGATTAACACTAGGCCAGAGTAGCCAACAAAATGTGAGAAATCACAAAGTGATAAGTAGACATTTCAATGAGCTGAACACACTTTCACTGAATTGTAACAAGGTCAGTTTGGCTAAAACCTAGAAACTTAAATTGGAAGGTACTAATTGATAACTGTTCATCAGATGTCTATTTTCACACCCACCATATAAGGTAAATGCTAAAAATTAGTGTTACACACATAATTACATCAACATTCTCATGTAGGGTAACTTTTCTACAAATACAAACGGCTTTAGTGACAACTAAAATTCAAAAGGCTTTGAATCCCATTTCATGAGAAAAACTAGGCAGTAGTTCTCAAACTGTGGCCCAGGGACCCCTGGGGGGGGGAATTCCTGCGACAGTTTCAGGGACTCTGTAAGGTCAAACTTTTCATACTTCAAAGACCTTAGTCTTTTTTATTCTTCCCTTCTGAGTGTATGGTGGAGTCTTCTGGGGCTGGAATGACTTCTTCACTCTAATGGCTCGTCGACTGTGTGCTTGTGTAAACTTGTATTTGAAATTTTTCTTAGTTTTAATTCCTAATATGGTAAATATCAATAAATAAAACCACTATAAACAAGAGCTCTTTGTGGTCTTCAGTTTTTTTGTTTGTTTTTTGGGGGGGTTTCTTGTTTTTTTGTTTTTGTGGTCTGCAATTAGGAGGGCAAAAGGGTCCTAAAAACAAAAAGTTTGAAAATCACTGTGCTGGAGAACCTATTTAAAGACAGAAGCAGTAAAAGTCCTTTTCTTAGGCAGATGAAGAAGAGATGATGGGTTTTTGCTTATAATTTCAGCTTCAGAGACTAACTACAAACAGTCCCCCATCTACGATGGTTCAACTTAAAACTGTTAGACTTCACGATGCTAAGAAAGTGATAGTGTGCTCAGTAGAAACTGTACTTCAAATTTAGAATTTGGATCTTTTCCTGGACTAACGATTTGGGGTCCAATCCTCTCTGGTGATGCTGGGCAGGGCAGATCCTGGTCAGCCACGGGGTATTGAGGGTGAACAACCCCTACCCTCACAACCACTCCGTACCCACACAACCATTCTGTTTCTCTCTTTCAGTACAATAGTCAGGGAACTACGTGAGATATTTGACATTTTGTTATAAAATGGGCTTTGTGTTAGATGAATTTGCCCAACTGCAGGCTACCATAAGCATTCTGAGCATGTTTAAGGTGGGCTAGGCTAAGCTACGATGTCCTGGAAGTTAGGTGTAGTAAATCCATTTTCGACTTACAGTGGGTTTATTGGGACGTAATCCCATAAGTCAAGGAAAATCTGCGCTATTATACAACTAATATCACCTAACAAAACCATATCCCTAAACCAGACTCCTGTAATCACAAGCCAAAAACCAAAACCAAAATAGGAACAATTTCAAAGTGAATAAAGTGTAGTAAATGTTGTATCCTTAGGGAAGAAAATCCTTTTTAATAATTTAAATTGGAAGGTACTGTCTGATAACGCTATGTTGTGTATATTCACACCCATCAGAGAAAATAGACGCTGAAAATATTTAAAGTTATAAACTTTAAATAGGTTAATTTCTTCACAAATGCAAACCTGGTTTTTCCCGTGGCACATCTGGGTTCTTTACCTTTTAAGTGACAACTGCTTTATTAGAGTAAGGGCCGAAAATCAATAAAAAAAGCTGAAGAGACCATAGATGAATAATGAATAATGTTTCTTCTTAACAAATGTCTGTTCCTGGATTCCCCAACTGTTTCTCAGTAACTCACCTTCTTCCACATCCCAATTTGATTCTGTGGAAAAGCCAATGCTCTTCCCTTCTTAGTGCTGCAAAAACTCAGACTGAAATAAGAAGGCCCCCTTTCTCAAAGAGGACAAAAACAACTGATTTCATGTGTATTAATTCACCAAGTTGAAGAACAAATTTAGAAAAATATTACTCTAAGTCACTGCCATGACATCTATAGTCAAACTTGACAATCATTTTCTTGCTTAAAGGAATATACATGTAAGTATAAATAAATCTGTATCACTTAAAAATCATCTTCTCATACCGTTAAGCAAAATTTAGCCTGATTTACAACAGCAAAAAATCTAAGTTTTAGAATTGCCTTTTTTTCTACAAGCGCTGTTAATAGTCAACCGTGCTGTATACTAACCAGGACAGCTAATGCCATAATGATCAGCGCTGGAATGTGAAGTAATGCTGGGATCTCCTTCATGAACTCTTTAATAAATTCCCCAGCTCCTTTCCCAATGTGTTTCAGTGGCTCCGTGACAAAGTTGGTGAATGTAACCGCCAGTGCCTAAAACAAAAGATAACAGCAACTTAACTTTTCCCTCAAAAGACAATGAGGGGCACCTGGGTGGATCACTTAAGCGTCTGCCTTCAGCTCAGGTCATGATCCCAGGGTCCTGGGATTGAGTCCTGCATCGGGCTCCCTGCTCAGCAGGGAGCCTGCTTCTCCCTCTCCCACTCCCCCTGCTTGTGTTCCCTCTCTCGCTGTGTCACTCTGTCAAATAAATAAAAAATCTTTAAAAAAAAATCAATTAAAATGTTTTAATGTAAAAATCATTGTGTAATGGAAGTATTTTTTCTAGAACAAGGGTTTATTATTAGCAAAATGACTGTAAAAAACACTAACAACTTTAAATAAATACAAGAAATTTTTGATTCACTTTGTATAAGTAATATTTACAAATGTATTCTATACCTTTGTTGGTGGGACCAACCAAATAGGGTTGACTAATAAGAGCTCGTAGTATTTTTGGCATGGGTCATCCTTATAGGTCCATGAACTTCTCAACAATTCTATTTAGAGAAATAGACAAAACACTGAGTCATTAAAAAAAAAAAAAAGTCACATTTCATTCCCAAATAAGACAGCATTTTGGTTTTGTCCCTGTCCCCATCACCAACCAATTTTAAATGCTGGTACAAACAGACTCCCTGTAATACTGATTTAAAAATTTTTCATCTTATGTCCAAAATGTTTATCTTAAAAATCTCTTCAAATTAGACAGGTCTTATGTAGATAAAACATTATATTTTATGAAATTTTCCAAAAGGTAAGTATTAAAAACTGTTCTTTACACATACAAATGAATCCAAATAAAGCCGCAGAAATCTGAGATCGCTGAATTATATGCAAGTTGATATCCTGGCTATGAGATCGCACTGCTGTAACTGTGTAAGACGTTTACACTGGGGGAAAATGGGGAAAGGGTACATCGATCTGTTTTCCTTCTTACAACTACCTGTGCATCTAGAATTATCTCAGTAAAATTTCAATTTAAAAAATCCGTCACTTTACAAGATAAAGAACATTACTAGTTCTCCCAATTTTTCTAAATTAGGTTTATGTACATTACATACTAGCCTGAGCTAGAGAAGGCGTTCAGATGTCCCCTGTAGCCAGGAAGCGAGGCCAGATTGGGTTAGTTCCCAAAACTTTTAAAGAACCATTAACATGGACGCCCTGTTTTGTACAATCTGCAGGGATTCTATTCTGGGTCCGTTCTTACGGACTTGCATTTATAAAGTGCCCTTGAACACTAAACCATTCCTACTGCTAGATACACAGAACTAAAGGCAGCCAACAGTAGTGACAATGTATATACAGTCTGTGAGGGGAAAAAAGTTAAAGAACTTTCCTCCTAGGAAAAAAAAAGGTGTAGTAAAGCTACAACTTAACATTTCATAAGTCAGTATAAGGAGATTAAGTCTAAGATGGATCTTAATTCATATAAACACTGATTCACTTCTTTAATGCACACGCTGGACCCCCTTCCTAAGGACCAGACAGACAAGATGAGCTCCGGCTCCGTCACCGACCGACGGAGGAGACGGCAGCACCACGGGAGCCGACAAAGACGCGTTCCTAGTCCCTCCCCATGAGGTTATGGGAGCATGAGCGGCCCGGTCTGAACCCTGCCTCTTCTCGCATCTTCTTCTGACACGGAGGACTCAGTCACGGAAAGCCTCCTTCCAGCATTTTCTCATTTCTCTGTAATTACTAATATGTTCTCTCCTTCCTGGAAATTCTATTCAAAATGAGGCCCAGCAAACCGACCCCTTACCCCAGAGGCTTCCAATCCAGTCCATCTTCTCAGCACACACATTGTTCAACGGCTCCAGCTTGGCAACCTCGGCCTGATGCTGCGCGAACGCGAGCTGAGCAACACCAAAAGGGAGCTGTGAGCGGCTGCGGACATGAAGGTTATGTCTACACATCCAAAACCCTGACTTCACAACGTATCTTCACCAGACACCAGACGGTTCACGGTTTTTTAGTAGGAAAAAAAAAACATTTCTAATAACTTTTTTATGATTTTATATATTTATTTGAGAGAGAGAGACTGAGAGAGAGAGCACATGAGAGGGGGGAGGGTCGGGAGGGTCAGAGGGAGCAGCAGACTCCCTGCCGAGCAGGGAGCCTGATGCGGGACTCGATCCAGGGACTCCAGGATCATGACCTGAGCCGAAGGCAGTCGCCTAACCAACTGAGCCACCCAGGTACCCCAAAAACATTTCTAAATAGCAGCTCTTTTCCACTCATGGCAAAGCACAGTCTTAATGCAACGAGTGAGGATAAAGAACTATAGCTTCCTTCTTTGTAAGTAATTTTGATGAGAAAGGCAAACCTTTGTGCTAAAAAGGATTATTTTAAAAAATCAGTTCAAATTCATACCACACCCAAAAATAGTTATATATATTAAATGACTACTTCTCATTTTCTTTCACAATTCATGATAAAATGGTGTTTTGTGGGGCACCTGGGTGGCTCAGTCGTTAAGTGTCTGCCTTCAGCTCAGGTCATGATCCCAGGGTCCTGGGATCGAGCCCCGCATCGGGCTCCCTGCTCCGCAGGAAGCCTGCTTCTCCCTCTCCCACTCCCCCTGCTTGTGTTCCCTCTCTCGCTGTGTCTCTCTCTGTCAAATAAGTAAAATCTTTAAAATAATAAATAAATAAATAATAAAATGGTGTTTTGTCCTGGATGGTTTTCAGCACAAGTGGCCTATATAAAGATAACATATTTTTTATATGTCCAAGCCCTGGGGGAAATTGCTGAGATAACAATATTCAACCAAACTTTTTTCCTTTAATTTGCAAACAATTAGTTCTAGAAGCTATAGAACTTAGAGCAAAAGGTTAAGGATATATCACAATGATTTAATCAGATAAATTCATCAAAAATATTTTGCCACTTGACTCACTCTGCTAGAAAGATCTAAAATTGTCCTTCAATGCTATTTCAACAGGAACAGTAGTGTTTCATTTGACTTTCTATATTCAGCATGATCCCAATTTTGAAAGAATTAAAATTTAGAAAAAAATCGGAAAGAAATACCTCAAAATATTGACAGCAATTATCTTTAGGTGACAAAATTATAGGTAATTAAAAAAAAGAAATCAAATTTCTGGGGCACCTGGGTGGCTCAGTCAGTTAAGCATCTGCCTTTGGCTCAGGTCATGATCTCGGGGTCCTGAGATTAAGCCCCACGTTGGGCTCCCTGCTCAGTGGGGAGCCTGTTCAAGGATTCTCTCTCCCTCCGCCCCTCCCCCTCCCCCTGCTCGCTCTTTCTCAAATAAAATCTTTTTTAAAAAATCAAATTTCTCTGTATAACTTTCTATCTTTTCTAAATCGTCTACTATCAACATTGCACTTTCATATTCAGAAAATAACCTAACTTTAAAAAATAACATTTTGATATCCTTTCTGGCAAAGAATAAAAGGACATACCTTAAACTACCTACATAAAATTTTTTAAAATGCATCCACCTAGCTCTATTCTGATTTAGCCACCTAGAGGCTACCCATGAGAAACTGGGTTAGGAAAATAGGCCTGCACCAAACTGGTCAGGGACCCGAAACACCAGGGACAGGTGAGCGGCTGCCAGATGACAATCCGGCATCTCTGATCAGAGGCAAGGTTATACGCTCCTCTAAAGGCACTGAGGTCTTCTGTTATCATGAAGTAACGCTGAAAAACATGAAAACCTTCCACCTATTTAGTACCTTATATAGATACATCCAATTCCATCCCAAACTGATGAGGAAACTGATGAATAACACACGTCTCAACTGGGTGTACCAATGCACATACGTCCACAGCTCGGTAGCGACTAATCCCACGATACAGAGCAGACACAGAAGCACCTCGAAAACAGGAAGAAGCGGAGAGCAGGGTTACTGCCAAGCCACCGTCCTCGCCGAGAAATGATAATCCTCAGCAGAAACGAAAGAACTGGCCTCAGACACGCAGCAGCATCTGGGCCATTCTGCTGCACGGCCAAGGAAACAGAAGCGTCTGCGCACGGGTTAACGTAACTACGGTGGAGGGTTTTTTTTTAATTTTTACATTAACCTATATAATGTATTATCGGTGTCAGAGGTAGAAGTCAGTGATTCATCAGTCTTATATAGTACCTACTGCTCATTACATCACAGACCCTCCCCAGTGACCATCACCCAGTTACCCCGTCCCCCTACCCCTCTCCCCTCCAGCAACCCTTCGATTGTTTCCTATAATTAAGAATCTCTTATGATTTGTCTCCCTCTCTGGTTTCGTCTTGTTTCATTTTTTCCTCTCTTCCCCTATGATCCTGTTTTGTTTCTTAAATTCTACAATATCAGCGAGATAGAACTGTCTTTCTGAGTGGCTTATTATTTCACTTAACGTAACACCCTCTAGTTCCAGCCACGTTGTTGCAAATGGCAAAATTTTTTTTTTTTTTTTGATGGCTGAGAGTATCCCATTGTATATATGGACCACATCGTCTGTATCCATTCATCTGTCAATGGACATCTGGGCTCTTTCCACAGTTTGGCTATTGTGGACATTGCTGCTATGAACATTGGGGTGCATATGGCCCTTCTTTTCACTACATCTGTGTCTTTGGGGTAAATACCCAGAGGTGCAAGTGCTGGGTCGTAGGGTAGCTCTATTTTCAACCTTTTGAGGAACCTTCATACTGTTTTCCAGAGTGGCTGTACCAACTTGCATTCCCACCAACAGTGTAGGAGGGTTCTATGGTGGAGTTTTTAAAGCATTTTTAAAAATGAGCTGTTACTGGGCGCCTGGGTGGCTCAGTCATTAAGCGTCTGCCTTCGGCTCAGGTCATGATCCCAGGGTCCTGGGATCGAGCCCCGCACCGGGCTCCCTGCTCGGCGGGAAGCCTGCTGCTCCCTCTCCCCCACTTGTGTTCCCTCTCTCGCTGTGTCTCTTTCTGTCAAATAAATAAAAAAAAATCTTAAAAAAAAAAAAATTTAAAAAAATGAGCTGTTACTTATGTCCCCCTTGTCCCATCTTACCATCAACAGATTATATGGATCCACTCCAAAGGAGTCTTCAAATCGCCACTTCCATGTTTCAAAATCATGAAACTTAAAATTAATTAAAATATCACTTAGTGCATCATCCAAGGCTCCTGGTTTCCAATCCTCTCCACTGAGAAACTTCTGTATTTCTAACAAGGTTTGTCTTTTTAGGATAATCTCAGCATCATAATGCATATCATCTTTGTTTTCTTCAGGCTGAATTAAATTTGCCCAAAAAACAAAACAGAACAAAACAGAAGAGAGAAACACTTCAAGACAAAAGCCGATTTGGAACTAAATATATATGTGGTTCATATTTCACATGTATAAAATAAAAATAATACTATCCACCTATGTGTCTAACATAAAAAACAGAGATCATACATGTGAAAAACATTTCAAAAATATAAAACTCTATGCAAATAAGATAATGTGCATTTTACCCACAGTTGATTCATACTACTGGCAACGTTTGTTCGAGGACGTCACCGCGGACACTAGTTAACAAATACCTGAACTACAGCTCCTGCAGGAAATACAGGGTTGCGTTCCTACCATTTTCACCAGGCAGGCAATACATAACCCTTTTGGGGGCGCCTGGGTGGCTCAGTCGTTAAGCATCTGCCTTCGGCTCAGGTCATGATCTCAGGGTCCTGGGATCGAGCCCCGCATTGGGCTCCCTGCTCAGTGGGAAGCCTGCTTCTCCCCCTCCCACTCCCGCTGCTTGTGTTCCCTCTCTCGCTGTCTCTCTCTCTGTCAAATAAATAAAATCTTAAAAAAAAAATACATAACCCTTTTGTGTGTTTCTATTTAAAGATACCTTATTTAATATTTTTGATTAACACTGAACTCGGAACAGCCAACAGCACTGTAACTCCTGCCCGAACAGACCTTATCTAACATGGGTATTTTCCCCGGAAGGCACATCCTAGCCTTCTCACGGTTCAGAGGCACCAGGCAGCACTACTCTTGGGAGTTATTTTAAACAGCCAAATAACATCAACAAAAGTGTGAAATACGTAGCACTAAATAAACCATGAAAAAGTACTTGTTTATAGTCTGAGAGCTGAAACAAGAAAGCAGAACATGGCCGTGCTCAGCCTCAGCTGAGAATGGGCACACCAGGCAACGCAAATGCTCTGCGCATGTCCGAGAATGGCGCAAAAGCTCCCCAAGTATTGACTTTGAGGTTATAAAATAAGGTTAGTGAGTACGCAAGTTCGCAAATATGGAATCCACAAATAATGAGCATCAACTGCTTATTTTGATTCATTTACGATTTTCCATTTGCTGACTTTATTTTCAAATAGCCTAAAATACACAGTAATACAAATTTTTTTAAAAAAGGGTTTGGGGGGCGCCTGCGTGGCTCAGTTGGTTAAGCGACTGCCTTCGGCTCAGGTCATGATCCTGGAGTCCCTGGATCGAGTCCTGCATCGGGCTCCCTGCTCGGCAGGGAGTCTGCTTCTTCCTCTGACCCTCACCCCTCTCATGTGCTCTCTCTCTCTCATTCTCTCTCTCAAATAAAATCTTTAAAAAAAAAAAAAAGGGTTTGGTTTTTTTTTTAAGATTTTTATTTATTTATTTAACAGAGAGAGAGAGCGCACAAGTAGGCAGAGGGGCAGACAGAGGGAGAGGGAGAAGCAGGCTCTCCGCCGAGCAGGGAGCCCAATGCGGGGCTCGATCCCAGGACCCTGGGATCATGACCTGAGCTGAAGGCAGACGCCTCACGACTGAGCCACCCAGGCGCCCCCCAAAAAAAGGATCTTAAAAGTCAGTCAAACAGGAGTTTCCGTGAACAAACATGATATTTATAACTATCTTTATTAGCTTGAGTTCAGGTTAGCAAAATCACTATAAACATTTTACATTTGTTATCCAGTTAACACAAACAGAAAAATGTTTCTCTTTTATAAAAATACAGATACTTACATAAAAGCGAATATAAAATCAGAAAAAAAACAAAGTGTCACATAACATCACAAGTCATCACTAACGTGAAAAAGCAGTCATCCATTATGATTTTTAAAAAACCTTGAACTAAAGAAAGCAAAACAAAAAAACCTTCAACAAAATATTGCCCATTATCTCCATCATAGGAATTTTTTGGCGCTCTGTGTCCTTATCCCATACATGCTTAAAAGACTTGAATTAAAGGATGCATGTATGAGAACATCTGCTCTTTCACTTCCAAAGTAAGATGGGATTATTAAATATTCATCTAATACTCCTTCCCCTTAAGTTTTTGGGTTTTTTTAAAGATTTTATTTATTTATTTGACAGAGAGACAGATAGCAAGAGCAGGAACACAAGCAGGGGGAGTGGGAGAGGGAGAAGCAGGCTTCTCACCAAGCAGGGAGCCCGATGCGGGGCTTGATCCCAGGACCCTGAGGATCACGACCTGAGCCGAAGGCAGACGCTTAACGACTGAGCCACCCAGGCGCCCAACCCTTAAGTTTTCTTGATGTTTGACTCCACAGAGTGAAAACAAGGACTCTAAAAAATGGAATCTTAACATTAATTATGAAAAATATGCACATGATATGCAATTCTATAAAGTAGCCCCTGCCACAGTAAAAAGCTTCCGGGTGGTGGGAGGACTACTTAAAGCACATTGTTCTTTTTCTCAGCACAGAATGATCTTACATCACATGAATAAGAAAGTGTGCAAGTGGTAGAAAACAAGGGCCAGCACAGAATTTCTTTGCCAACTCATGAATGTGTCAAATTTCCAACTGTTTAGTAAAGTTCAAACAGCAAATTTAAGGCACCTCCCTCCATTTGAAATTAATAAATAATGAAAATATCCACCACACTGATTAGTATCACACCAATACTCACGAGTCCGAGCTTTCTGGCTTCAATCAAAATCTTATGTAAGTATCTCCTAAAAACAGGATTGCTTTGACTTTCATAGTCTTCCTTCTTTTTCTTTTCACACTCATCGATCTGTAATTACAAAACAAATTCAACATTAGATAGCATCAAAGTTTCATGTGAGGGTCAAGTTTCTAGCCTAGTGGCCCCATCAAGATCAAGGTAAGGAGCTTGCGATTATCAACTATATGAAAATGTAGAGCGTCCTACCTTCTGTGGGTTCTCTTTGCAAAGCATTAGAACCTGTGATAACCAACTTTTATTTTCTAACTAAGTATGAACCATGAATTGAGTTAGCATTTGAAATGGGCTTCAGATGATAAACATGACAACTGAGTGTCACACACAGACTTAAGAGAGAAGGACCCTTGAAAAGTCACATGGCAGTTTCCTCCGCTTGCAGGCAAGGTTTACAAACCTCTTTAAATTTCTCAAGAGAATTTTTGAGAGAGACAGAGAGCATACACAAGCACGAGCAAGGGGTGGGGGGGGGGCAAAGGGAGAGGGAGAATCTTTTTTTTTTTTTTAAAGATTTTATTTATTTATTTGCGACAGAGAGAATGAGAGACAGAGAGCATGAGAGGGAGGAGGGTCAGAGGGAGAAGCAGACTCCCTGCCGAGCAGGGAGCCCGATGCGGGACTCGATCCTGGCACTCCAGGATCATGACCTGAGCCGAAGGCAGTCGCTTAACCAACTGAGCCACCCAGGCGCCTGGAGAGGGAGAATCTTAAGCAGGCTCCATACTTAGCATGGAGCTCTACATGGGGCTCAATCTCACCACCCTGAGATCATGACCTGAGCCAGAATCAAGAGTCAGATGCTTAACCAACTGAGCCACCCAGGTGCCCCTTTAAGAGAATGTTGTGTGTGTGGTTTGTTGTTGTTGTTGTTCTTGTTTAAGATTTATTTCTTTATTTTGGGGGTGGGCAAAGGGAGAGGGAGTCCCAAGCAGACTCCATACTGAGCATGGAGCCTGACACAGGGCTCGATCTCACGACCCTGAGATTACCTAAGCGGAAACCAACAGACTGCATCACCCAGCGCCCTGAGAATGTTTTGTAAAACAAAAATTCAAGACTCCATTTTATCAATCATACTTTTACAACGCTGAGCCCAAGATGCAAAGAACGGAATGAAGAATTTCTGTATTTCCTAGTGTGCAGCCAAACAAGCTCATGATACTACAAAACACAGTTAAACTGAGGCAGATTTTATCCAAGCATTTCTTTGCTAGCACTCGGGTGAGACAGCATTCACACCTGGTAAGAACCACAGCAGTGCTGACAGATCTGGAAATGAGATCTGAGATCTCTGTATCTCCGTTCACAAGCTCTCCCAGTCTCTCAAGCTGGAAACCTCCTTCACTCTATCCCTTTTCCCTCCTCCCTCAGCTACCCAAATTTGCCTATTCCACCTTGGAGAAATCCAACACTTTCCTCTTCAGTACCTGTCACTGCCCCAGTTGGAGCATTTGGCATTGCTGGACCTCTGCCACCCCTCTCCTTCTGAAGCCCCCTCCACTGGGCCACCAGCTGATAGCCTCCACAGCCAAGAGACCGGTTCCCACCCCTCAACATGCATTTAAACCCCTTAACAATCTTGATTTATTTCCTTTCTCATAAACTCCACTTCAGCCACACAAATAAAAAGATTGGATAAATGATGAACCTAAGAATTACTCTTGCAAATATAAGGGATTATTATAATTTAGTATGTGTGGTGGCTTTTCCTTCATGTTCATCTGGTGGTCACAGGCCCATTTCTTCATGGGCTGCCTTTGTTATGAGTCTATTATGATGCAGCACTGTGAAAGGTGATAGAGAATCAAAAATGAATAAAATGTATTCCTTGTCCCTGGGGCGCCTGGGTGGCTCAGCCGGTTAAGCGTCTGCCTTTAGGTCAGGTCATGATCCCCGGGTCCTGGGATCGAGTCCTGCATCGGGCTCCCTACTCAGCAGGGAGCCTGCTTCTACCTCTCCTCTCCACTCATGCTCTCTTCTCGCTATCTTTGTCTGTCTCTTTCAAATAAATAAATAAAATATTAAAAAAGAAAAAAACCCGTATTCCTTGTCCCAAGAAATGTTCAGTCTGGTAAAGAAAGAATTACAACATGGTGAGATAAATGTTATTACTGGAAAATAAAAGTACTATTAAAAAAAAACAGACAAGGCCAGAGTAATGAAAGAGAAGACAAGGCTAGAGTAACTAAAGAAAAAAATTATATATAAATTGTACAGTACATACACAGAAACACATATGTTAGCAAAGACAGGAAACAGCAATTTAACACTATAAATATAAAATTCATGAATTAAAAAAAATTCAAACCTTATGAGTTAAAGAATCAAGTTTGCTATAACATTCCAACAATTCATCAGCATGTGACAAGTCAGGACTGACTTCTTTTTCCTCTGATACACCATGTTTTACCTAAAGCAAAATAGAGATTTTATTTCTTTATAGTTCAGCTGTGAAAATAACCTAAAGTTAATGAAGACTAAAAGTTGACTTCATCATTTTATGACTTTGTCACAATTCATCTGTGTTGAACCAAAAAAGAGTCTCAAATTTATATACTAGCTAAGAACTAAAATCAAGTTAGCTGGCGGCTCGATGGGCTTTACATTCATATTCAACACCAAAATAAGCAGGTGGGGTTGAAATCCTCTTAGACTAAGAGTCAGGGAGATATTCTACGTGGCTGCTAGTCATTGGTACATGACTCTTGACTCTGGAAGCTCTGCGAGAAACAGTAACAGAAGTACACTATTTCCATTACAGGACCGATAAGGTCTTATGTACATGCACATGCATTTTTTTTAATACCTGAGACTTTCTCATTGTTCCTGAAGCAGCATCATAGTTAAGCATGTCTGTGGGGTCAATCCAGTCATCATCATGAGCATAACCGGTTATCAACCACAGACATTCACAAAGGAGCAGAGAATACAGCATCCTGCATGAAGGCTAAAAAAAATTTTAATAGACATAATAAAATACAATTATTTTTAGAAGAAATGGTTTTGTAATAAAAACTATCTACTTCCTTCTAGTGCTAAGATAATGTTTTCTTACTGAATAATAACTGAAATAAAAATACTCAGTAAAATGGTATTCACATTTAAACACATACACACACATTCGTGCTGAGACAAAAAGAATACAGGAACTTTTCATAGGATTCAGAATTCCATTCCTAGGCTTACGCCCAAGAAATGAAAACACATATCCACACAAGAACTTGTACACAAATGTTTACAGCCATATTATTCACAACAGCCAAAGAGAAAACTCAAATGTCTATCAACTGACAGATAACTAAAATGTGGCATATCCATACAATGGGAGAGTACGAGGCATAAAAATGGATGAAGTACTGACACGTGCTACAACATGGATGAACCCTGAGAACACTGTGCTGTGGGAAAGAAGCCAGGCAGCAAAGACCACAGAGTACAGGATCCCATTTACATGAAATGTCCAGAACAGGCAAATCTAGAGAGACAGATGGTAGATTAGTAGGTGCTCAGGGCTGGGAACAGAACAGACGGCTGGCAGTTAAAATGGTACGGGGTTTCTTCTTGAGGTGATGAAAAATGATCTAAAACTGTGGTGATGGTTGCATGAACTGTGCTCTTTAAACGAGTGAATAGTTTAGTACGTGAATCATTGCTCAGTAAAACTGCTTTAAACAGAAGAGGTATTGGGGCTCCTGGGTGCCTCAGTCGGTTAAGCGGCTGCCTTCGGCTCAGGTCATGGTCCCAGGGTCCTGGGCTCCCTGCTCATCAGGGAGTCTGCTTCTCCCTCTCCCACTCCCCCTGCTTGTGTTGCCTCTCTTGCTGTCTGTCAAATAAATAAATAAAATCTTTTTTAAAAAGAAAAAAGAAAAAAGAAGAGGTATTTAACCAAACCCTCTCCCCCCAAATTCCTTTTTTTAACACATGGAAAATAAGAAATGTATAAAATTAACATTCAAACAAGGTGACTGAACTCCCAAACCACTCAGAGAAAATAACTTGCTTCATCTAAGCCTCTGCAGAAACCCTGTCAAACCATCTCAACACTTAATACCGCTTCTATTCGACACTGTCCAATACAGTAGCCACAAAGCGTATGTGGCTATTTAAATTTAATTAAAATTAAATAAAATTAAAAATTCAGTTCCTCATTCACGCTAACTGCATTTCCAGTGCTCAACACCCACATGGGGCTAGTGGCTGCCACAGTGGACAGGGCAGATCTAGAACATTTCCATCATTACAGAAAGTTCTTTTGGACAGCCTGTCTTATACTTAACATGAATAAAAATCAGGTAAGGGAATTCCCAAGTGAGAAAGTAAAAATAATGTAAAAATAAAAGTAACTCCAGGGACACCTGGGTGGCTCAGTTGGTTAAGCGTCTGCCTTCGGCTCAGGTCATGATCCCAGGGTGCTGAGACGGAGTCCCGCATCAGGCTCCTTGCTTGGCAAGGAGTCTGCTTCTCCCTCTGCCTCTGCTGCTCCCCATGCTTGTGCTCACGCACTCTCTTTCTCTCTCCCTGACAAATAAAATCTTAAAAAAAAAAAGTAACTCCAGGCTGTATCACACACTCCTCCTTTGTGCTCCCAGCGTGCTCTGTTTATTCGTCTAGCACAACACACAATGAAATTAGCCACGTATTGTCAGGCTCTCCCATTGACACAGTGGCTGTCAAGCTTGGCTGTGCATTAGAATCACCTGGCGAGGGGCACCTGGGTGGCTCAGATGGTTAAGCGTCTGCCTTCGGCTCAGGTCATGATCCCAGGGTCCTGGGATCGAGCCTTGCGTCGGACTCCTGGCTCAGTGGGGAGCCTGCTTCTCCCTCTCCCTCTGCCTCTCTCCCTGCTCATGCTCTCTGTATCTCTGTGTCTCAAATGAATAAATAAAATCTTAAAAAAAAAAAAAAAAAAGAATCACCTGGCGAGCTTCTAAAAGTCTCAATCTTCTGGCCACATCCCAGATCAAGCAAATCAGAATCTCTAAGGGTGGGACCCAGGTGCTGGGATTTTTAAAGCGCCTCAGGTGGTTCCAATACACAGCAAGGGTAGAAAACCACTGTGCTATGACGTGAACTTTTCCAGGGGAAAGTAACACCCTACTCCAATCAGAATTCACCGTCGTGACGACTCTCCATCTTGCCCCCTCCACCTCTCCAAGACCAACACCTAGCCTGGTGGCTGGTGCAGGAGAGACACACAATAAATGTCAAGCAGCAAATGCAAATGGTCAAAGCCACACAGGGATTCACAGGGTTTTAGAGGTTCAAAGGATGAAGCAAGCTCATCTGACTGGAAGAAACTGGCACCACTTCATGGAGGAACGGGCATGGGAAACAGACAGGGAAGTGTGGGTAACATGCTAAGAGGGCAAGGTGAGGAGGCAAAGGAGCAAAGTGAATCTTCGAAACTGTAAATTCGAGGATGGACGTGGTGGGGCTGGGAGATGGTTGGATGACAAGGTAGGCTGGGGTGATGAGGCCCACGGCCAACCTCATCTGCTAGCAGTAGCTCTGAATGCGTGGGAGCCACATTGGGGGAAAATAAAAGTAGCACTAAGTGTACAGAATCAGGGAAAAACTGGACTCAGAGAGTCCTACAAGGAAGGTGAAATAGCCAAAGGAGGCTGAACTGCATTCTGAAGATTAGTTCTACAGGCCTCAGCCACAGAATGCACGTAAGGAAAGGAGAAGATGGTAAGCATGGCCAAGATTTCTAGGCTGACCAACAACAAAAAGGTGGTATTATTAACTTCAAAAGAAATTCAGAAGGAGAACATGGTGTTGGGGAAAAGTTCAGCATTCATTTGTTCAACATTTACTAAATACCTACTGGGTATTGGGCACTGTCTTAGCTGACAGGGATACCAGGAAACTAGCCCAGCCAGGTTTTAAGAAGATACATGGTGGGGAGGGGCACATGGGGGTAGGGGACAAGATGAGACATAAGTTGACAAAAAAATAGATATAATTTCAGATAGTGATACACCGTATGAAAAAAATAAAGCAGGACAATGGCAGGATGGATTAGGCAATGTTGAGTATTTTAGGGAAGGCCTCAGAGATTAAAGATAGCCACAAATTCCATCAAGTCCCCATCGAGAGATGGAGTTTACTGTCCCTCCTCCTGAATCTGGGCTGACCCTGTGACCACTGTCAACCATGAAAAGAGGAAAAACTGAAGTAAAATTAAAGCATTTTTTAAAATTTTTTTTTAAATTTATTTATTTATTTGAGAAGGAGACTGAGAGACAGAGAGAATGAGAGGGGGGAGGGTCAGAGGGAGAAGCAGACTCCCCACGGAGCAGGGAGCCCGATGCGGGACTCGATCCCAGGACTCCAGGATCATGACCTGAGCTGAAGGCAGTCGCTTAACCAACTGAGCCACCCAGGCGCCCCAGTAAAATTAAAGCATTTATTTGGGGTTTAGAATTGCAATTTGGGGAACAACCCAAATTGTGGCCCACTGCAGGGAAAAAGGGGTTTTTATAAGAAAAAGGAGGAAGTATAAGATACCTAACATCAGTTGTTTACCAAGAATTATAATTGAAAGATATTACAATTTATAATTGTTTTCTAGGTATGTCAGTTGCTAGGAAAGTCCCTTTTGCAGAGTGTCTAATTTTTGTCAAAAACACAGACACATCGTCAAGGTGCTCAGTCATATGCCCTTACCCAGTTCAACAGTGGAATGCAATTCCTCTTTCAAAACTGGGATGAGGGGCGCCTGGGTGGCTCAGTCGTTAAGCATCTGCCCTCTGCTCACGTCATGATCCCAGGGTCCTGGGATCGAGCCCCGCATCGGGCTCCCTGCTTGGCGGGAAGCCTGCTTCTCCCTCTCCCACTCCCCCTGCTTGTGTTCCCTCCCTCACTGTGTCTCTCTCTGTCAAATAAATAAATAAAGTCTTTAAAAAAAAAAAAAAAACGGATGACATTTCTGTCACCATCTTCTTACAAGCAAAGGTTTCGCATAGGTTCACAATATTTAGCCAAAATATTGTGGTAGAAGCGATGCTGTGTTGGTTCTGGGCCTGGCTTGGCCTATATGAGGTTTAGCTGCTTCTACTTTGGAACGCCTGCTCTTTGCTCTCAGCTGCCATGCTGTGAGAAGGCCTGGCCACACAGAGAGGCCATGTGCAGAGGGCACACTAAGCTCCCAGCTGGCAGCCAACCTCAACAGCCGGCCATGTGAATGAGCCATCCTGGCAGTCCCAGGTCAATCCCATGGTAACAGACTTGCGACCCAGCCAACATCACGTGGAATAAAAGAACTATGCAGATGAGTCAAGATCCATAAGCCCACAGAATCATGAAATATAATAAAATGGTTGCTTAAAGCCTCTAAACTTGGAGGTGGTTTGTCACACAGCAGTAGATAACCACAACATTTAAGCAGACAAATGATAAAAAGCAAACCTTAGGAAGACTTGGGAAAAGAACATCCAGAGAGTAGATACAGCAAGCATAAAGATCAGAGCGGGGTGGGGCGCCTGGGTGGCTCAGTTGGTTAAGCGACTGCCTTCAGCTCAGGTCATGATCCTGGAGTCCTGGGATCGAGTCCCGCATCGGGCTCCCTGCTCGGCAGGGAGTCTGCTTCTCCCTCTGACCCTCCCCCCTCTCATGTGCTCTCTCTCTCTCATTCTCTCGGTCTCAAATAAATAATTAAATAAAATCTTAAAAAAAAAAATAAAAAAAAAAAGATCAGAGCGGGGAGAAAATTTGAAGCATTCAAAGAACAGCAGGAAGATCAAGATGACGTAGTAACCCCACACTCCAAAGCACTCCTAGGGCTCCTACATCCGATCAAAATGAAGTAACAGGGGCCAGGTGTACCCTCTTGCCTGAACAACCGAAACCTCTGCACAAAGTCTAGGGAACAACAGTTTTCAAGACACTGGACACCAGGAAGCAAGTATAATGGTCTCTGAAAAATGGAAAACACACACAGACAGCCCTTCCATTGCCCCAGCTTACTGCCTTAACAGTTTCCAGGCCATGGGCACAGGAAGAGGGAACTCAGGCAGAGCCCAGAAAGCCCCTGTGGAAACAGAGCTGAGAATCTGAGGAGACTGAGGCAAGAGAAAGCTGCAGAGAGACAGAACTCCAGACATCTGCAGAGGGTGCCTGCAATATAAAAGGATATCTGGTCTTCGACCCCAGTTCCTTCAAATACCATAGGAATTTCCTGAGTGACAGCAGTGTCTTTTGTGATGAGATGCTACTGACGTGACTCTGCTGGGCCCCAAGGTAGCTTCGGGTTGGGGATGGTCATGAGAAAGACCAGGCACATGATTAGAAGGTTGGAACTTTCAACCATCAAACCTCAGGGGAAGGAAGTAAGGAAAGTGGTCACCAAGTTCAATCACTCAGCCAATGATGTAATCAGTCATGCCCACATACTGAAACCCCAATAAAAACTCTGGACACTGAGGCTCAGAGAAGCTGGTTGGTGACACATGGATGTGCCAGGAAAGTGACATGCCTGGATTCTATGAAGAAAGGACACAGAAACTTCCTCCACAGACTGCCCTTGTGTGTCTCTTCATTTGGTTGATCCCAATCTATATCCTTTCTAATAAAACTAAGTATAGTGCTTTCAGGGAGTTCTTCCAGTAAGTCATTCCAGTGAATTATCCAACCTGACAGAGTTGTGGGATCCCCCTAATCTATAGCCAGTCGGTCACAAGTGCAGATGGACCCCAAGACGTGTGTCATGGAAGCAGTCTTGCATAGAACTCTGCCCTTAACTTGTGAGGGTGTGCACTATTTTGGGCACATAGTGTCAGAACTGAACTGTAGGACATCCAGTCTGTGTCAGAGAATTGGTCTGAGAACACTCCACCTTGAGTCTTCAGCAAGGTGCGGATCAGTGCACACATAGCAGGAAACTACCTCAGGCCTGAAAAAGAACCACTGAAAGGATTCAGTACAAAAATGAACAGGAGTAAGGGGCGCCTGGGTGGCTCAGTCGTTAAGCGTCTGCCTTCGGCTCAGGTCATGATCCCAGGGTCCTGGGATTGAGCCCCACATCGGGCTCCCTGCTCAGCGGGAAGCCTGCTTCTCCCTCTCCCACACCCCTGCTTGTGTTCCCTCTCTCGCTGTGTCTCTGTCAAATAAATAAAAAAAATCTTTAAAAAAAATAAAAAATAAATAAAAAATAAACAGGAGTAGAATAAATTGGGACACAAACTTGTAATAAAGATAAAACCAAAAGTTAATTCTTTGAAATGACTAAAAAAAATTGATAAACACATAGCAACATTAAGAAAAAGAGAAGGCCCCCCAAATTAAGAATGAAACAGGATAAATTATTTATGACTAAAACACTTAGCAAACCAGAAATAAAAGAAAATCTTGCCAGATAGAGTACTACAGGTAAACACTATACTTGAAATCTTTCTCTCTGAGATCAAGAATGAGATGAGGGAAAAAGCTCTGGAAGATTTCTGGGATACTGACAGTATTCTATTTCTTTCTTTTTTTTTTTTAAAGATTTTATTTATTTGACAGAGAGACCAGCAAGAGAGGGAACACAGGCAGGGGGAGGGGGAGAGGGAGAAGCAGGCTTCCCGCTGAGCAGGGAGCCCAATGTGGGGCTAGATCTCCGGACCCTGGGATCATGACCTGAGCCGAAGGCAGACGCTTAACGACTGAGCCACCCAGGCACCCCGACAGTATTCTATTTCTTAATCTAGAAGGTAGGCACATGGGTGTATGCTTTTTAATAATTTGCTAAGATGGACACTTATATATTATATACTTTTCTGTATATATATTTCACATTTTACGAAAGTTTTTTTTTTTTAAATGGGAAAGACTAATTGAGATATTGTTATGGTTTGAACTGTATTCCTCCAAAATTCTTATGTTGAAGTCCTATACTCCAGTTCCTCAGAATATGACTCTATTTGGAGATAGTGTCTCCAAAGAGGTAATTAAGCTATAATGAAGTCATTTGCATGGGCCCTAATCCACTATGACTACTGTCCTTATAAGAAGAAATCTGGACACAGGTCAGAGGAAAGCTGATGTGAAGACACAGGGAGAAGGCGACCATCTACAAGCCGAGAGAGGCCTCAAAAGAAACCAACCCTGCTGACACCTTGATCTTGGATTTCCAGCCTCCAGAATCTTTTCCCTCCAGAAAAAAGAAGTTTCTGTTGTTTAAGACATCAGTCTGTGGTATTTTGTTATGGCAGCCATAGCAAACTAACACAGATTTCTTCAGACATAAAAGACTAAGAAAGTCTCCAACCCATAGACTCTTGACATATTAAAGAAGCTTAACATCAATAAAAGGTGTGAGTAAAAGAAACAATGATGAGCAAAGGAACTGGTCAAATATATTGACAAATGAAGTCAACTACTGATAGTTAAAAAAAAAAAAAAACCAAAACCCCACAACTTTTTATGTTTAAAAATGTAAAAACCAAAATGCTAAGTAACAATAACAGTGGGAAAAGTATCCTAGGATCCCTGTCGCGCTCTAGAGAGAAATACTGGATGACTGTATATTTTGGTGGGGGGAGGGGAGGATGGGGAAGGAGTTCAACTAAGGAATAAAATCTTAAGAAGACCCAAACAAAAGAGAAGGCAGTTAAGACTATCGAGAGCAGAACACAAACTAAAAAATGCAATGTGTAGAGACCAAGAGGTGCTTAATTTGAAAGAGGCATTAGTCAACTATATAAAATACTTTAGAGAAGCTGAAAAAAATTAAGTCTGGGGGAAAAAAAAAAGCCGTTGGATTGCTTAGTCCGTTGACAGGGAGAAGCCTAATTCTAAGCAGTGAAGAACTAAGTTGATAAAGGGAGTCTCTGAACTGAGCAGAAGCTCTGAGATGGCAGAGTATGAAATCAAGGCTATAGAAAAGGCTTTTCAGAGGCAACAAGGTTTTACACTCCTTCAAAACAGAAATGAATAAGGAGGGGTGGAAAGAAAGGTTCTAAAGCAAAAAGAAGAGAAGCTGACAAAATTCACTTTACTACCCGATATCAAGAAGACGGTGAAATGGTCCACTGGAAAGCCAGGAGTGGCACTGTGGGTCAAGAAGCTAGGATGGGGAATAGAGATCTGGGAAAACAGCTCTATAGGGAGCATTATACAAAGGGAGATGAATCAAAAACTCTTCAAGCAGCTGAGTTTTGACTATGACTCCCACAGTCATGTTATTAAGCTACCTTACTTTCTCCAGTAATGATCAGCAGATGCAGAACTTATCCAGGACTAGGAACTGAAGAAACGATGGAAGACCAGGACGTGAGGCAGAAGTGGAACCAGCCTCAAATTTAAGTCCTCCTGCCAAATCCCCTTGGTCACTGAAGGCTGGAACTCCTTGAGAAATCTTACAGCTGATCTCACACTTCCTCCAAGTAAAACTGCATCTAAACCTGCCCGGGATCTTGTTAGAAACAGCCTCTGACTAAGTCTGAAGTGGGCCTGAGATTCTGCATTTCTAACAGCTCCTGGTGATGGCAGAGATGTTGGCCCACAGACCACACCCTGAGCAGCAAAGTGTTTAGGAAAAGTAAGCATCCTGTGTTGGTTTAGTTTAACGGGGGCACCTGTGATTCTACTACTTGGCAGTTACTAATAAGCTCTCTCCCCTACTTCTTACTTTTTAATCACCTTTCTCATCTATTTCAGGCTTTGACACTAATATCAAAATTATATAAAATAATAGCGGTGTTTGATTACTATGTGCCAAAAACTGTTACATACATTCATTCATTCAATTCTCCAAAAGCTCTCGGTAGTAGTACGGTTACCTTCATTTTACAGATTAGGAAAACAAGTAAACTGAGTGGAGAGCTACCAAGAAAGACTGAGATCAAGGAAAGTCCCAGCTGAGTGGAAATCGGCACAGAAAAAAAAGTATCTGATTTCGATGAATTACACGTGTATAACGAGTCAAATTCCGTATGAACCTAGAAGTTGCATGGCACAAAAGTCAGGAGTTTGCAATTTGGTCCGTTCGCCGACGTGTAGTTGGCTGGAGCCCGGGCTCTCAAACTTGCGAACGGGCACTGCTAACAACTTCCCAAAGGATGATGACGCTAATCTGGGGACCACACTTTCATAACCACGGCCACGGACAAAATATGAATTGTTTTTCACCACCCACCCATAAACCTGAATCTCTAACTTCTTTACATTCAAATCAGATTTAGAGTTTCAAAAAAAATTCACTCCAACCGAATCCGAGCTATTCCGCTGACGCCGTTTGCCAAATTCTGCGTAAAGTTTTCCGAGATAACTAAAGCCCACAAAAATTCGGCGTTCGCTCGGGTCTGGCTTTGCACTTGCTTGTCCCTCTCCCTAGGCCGCTCTTTGAACCGTGGAACGCGCGACAGCAGCCGCGCTGCACCCGAAGATAAGGCGGCCAGTCGCCCGCTCGTCCTGGCACCCGCAGCGCCGCGAGGCGCCCCGAAACCCCGGAGAGCGCGGCCCCCGCCCCGGGCGGCGTCCGCGGCCTCCCCTGCCCACGCCGCCCGCCGCCCGCCGCCGCACAGACACCCGACCGCGCCGACTCACGGCCCAGTCGCCAACCTGCGTCTGGGAAAGAAAGACACCTACCCCTCCAGCTGAAAAAGATGGCGAGCCGCCTGCCGGGGCGCTCGAGCGCTTCAGCGGGCGCGGGGCGTCTCGCGCGTCCTCATCGACTCGCTCGGCTGGCAGCCGTGCGTCCTTCCCCGGCGTGCGTCTGATTGGCCCGCCGAGGGGGCGGGGCCGGGCTCTGGGGGCTTGCTTTAGGCCAGGACGTTCTTATTTTGATCAGTGGAACGGTCTACGAATGAACTCGTACAAGGAAGCCAAATATATGCGAATACTAAACTTGTTTCCTTGGTATTGATTTATTTTGCAAGTCCGAATGTGTAACATTTGCAATAATTATTTAAGTAGGGTATAATGAACGACAACGGCAGTCCTGTATTTGGGGTGTGGGGGGACGAGCTACATTCTGCTTTAGTTGGAAATAATAAATTTCGTTTTGTTTTTGTTTTTAACTGCTGGCCTTGCAATTTCAGAAAACTCTCCAAAGAGGAAATGATTTTACACACTAGGAGGAAATGAGAAGTGTACACAAGAATTCTTGGCAACAAACTTAAGTGTGTTAAAATTTGGTGTATAAGGTACACTTGGTGTGCATGTTGCTTATTACAATTTTTTTTTAAAGTAAAATACACCTGAGGGGTGCCTGGGTGGCTCAGTCATTAAGCGCCTGCCTTCGGCTGAGGTCATGATCCCAGGGTCCTGGGATCCAGCCCCACATCAGGGCTCCCTGCTCAGCGGGAAGCCTGCTTCTCCCTCTCCCACTCCCCCTGCTTATGTTCCTTCCCTCGCTTTGTCTCTCTCTGTCAAATAAATAAATAAAATCTTTTTAAAAATTTAAAAAAGATACACCTGACAAAGTTTACCACCTTAACCATTTTTTTGCATAACAAGTTTATTTTTTTATTTTATTTTTTTAAAAGAATTATTATTTTTTTAAAGATTTATTTATTTGAGAGAGAGAATGAGATAGAGAGAGCATGAGGGGTGAGGGTCAGAGGGAGAAGCAGACTCGAGCCTGATGCGGGACTCGATCCCGGGACTCCAGGATCATGACCCGAGCCGAAGGCAGTCGCCCAACCATCCGAGCCACCCAGGCGCCCCACAAGTTTATTTTTTTAAAAGACATATCGACAACAAAGTAAACAATCAGATCTTCACTTCTACCCAGTATTATCTGTCCTAGAACTGTTCCATTAAGTTCCAGTCTCTAAACATCTTAAATTTCAATAATCGTCCTCTTCATCAGAGTCCAAGACTTTTCTTCCGTTGAATTTAACTGTGGTTTTCTTTTCTGTTTGTTGGCTTACTTTTTCAAGGATTTCTATTAAACCTTGTTCTGATACCTTCCCACTTAGTTGTCCATATCTTGCCATCCGTATGAGGTAATTCTCTACTGCTTTCGTTTTTTCGGGCTTTACAAGGGCTACGTTACTTAAACGGGCCCGGGCTGACTGATCCAGGACTTGGGCTACGATACTGCTGCTCATTTCAGCTTCCCTGTGCTTTGCTTCCTGTCGTGCTGCATCGCCAGGATCCCCATGCTTCGCCTGCAGTTCGGCCAGCCTCTCTTTCCTCCGAGCCCCGAGCTCCTCCTCCGCCCTGGTGCGGCAGTGCGGGGTCGAGCCGCCGCGACCACCCTCCGAGGGCTCTCCCGCAGCGCCCTGGCGCGCGCACGACCCTCCCCACGCGCCCACCTTAACCATTTTTAAGTATACAGTTCAGGGTCATCCACAGCATATTGTGCCACCATCACCGCCATCCAGCTCCAGAACTCCTTCATCCTGCAAAACTGAAACTCTACCCATGTAAACAACAATTCATCGTTCCCGCCCTCCGCCCTTCCCTGGCCCCTGGCAACCACCGTTCTATTTTGTATCTCGATGAATTTGACCACACGAGGTACTTAAGCATTTGTCTTTTTGTGGCTGGCTTATTTCACTGGGTGTAATGTTTCTCAAGTCTCATCCCTGTTGTAACTTGTCAAAATTTCTTTCCCTTTTAAAGGCTGAATAATATTTCATTGTATTGTGTACCACGGTTTGTTTATCCATTGATCTGTTGATGGACTTCTCACCTTTTGGCTATTGTAATGTTGCTATGAACGTGAGTGTGCAAATGTCTCTTCAAACTCTGCTTTCAGTTTTTTGGGGTATGTATCCAGAAGTGGGATTGCTGGGTCATATGGTACTTATATTTTTAATTTTTTGAAAACCACCATACTGTTTTCTACAGTGGCTGAACCATTTTTTTATATGATTAGCAACAGTTTAATGAAGCCGTAGCATTTACAGGATTCTCAAATGGAAACAATATAAAGCCTGTTATAAAAATTAGTAAAAGATGCAAGGTAGAACACCTTTTAATACTGATACAATGGCAATAGCAGCTTTACAAGTATTTATAGGATTTCTATAGCATTTCTTTATTCTATAGCATTTTTTATGAACCATTATTCCACAAGAATGATCAAATCATCACATCATTTAAATTAAATTGAGACGTACAAGATGGTTTATTAATATTACAAACATTATAAGTGCCCCATAAAATATTGTTACAGATACTCAAATGTTTTATTCTCAGTGACCATTCCCTTTATTCTTGCATAATATAAATGTAGCTAGCAGGTTTTTTAAAAAAAAAAAAAAAAAACTAGAATCATATGTTTCTTAACTTCATTATCTGTTTAATTTTCATTCATAAATGTGTTGTAAACATAAATGTGGGTCTCATAAGAACAAAACATCATTCCCAGGTCTGTTTTTCAGTCTGGTGACTTCCCACAATACTCTATTTGGCATCTCAAAGCAGTATTTCTGCATTTCTTGACATCTCAAAGCAAAATAGGTATTTCTGAGAAGTTACTAAAATATCTTTTTTAGCCTATGCTAACCAGGGGATATTTCAAGGATATCATCTATGTAACTGCTTCCTGTCAGGCTCAAAAGTTCAGTCAAGATCAAAACCCCTTGTTTCCTATCCATGAGGCTCTGCTATCCTTATTCTTGGAATTACAGTGGAGGTTATCAGCTTCAAAGCTAATCCTGTGCCTTCAGTCACATTCACCCTAATGACAGGTCCCCTTCCTTCGTGATACTTAATACATTAGTAATGGTGATCTTGGCTGAAGCTATAGTATGTCCACTGCTAAGTACATATATCTGACAAACGGGGGGGGGGGTTCCCAGAAATACTTGGCAATTTTGTAGGAGTCTGACTTACATAGGGTTGCCAAATAAAACACAGAATGCCCCAGTTAAACTTGAATTTCAGATAAACACTGAAACACTGGGATCGAGCCCCACATCGGGCTCCCTGTTCCGCGGGGAGAATGCTTCTCCCTCTCCCGCTCCCCCTGCTTGTGTTCGCTGTGTCTCTCTCTGTCAAATAAATAAATAAATAAAATCTTAAAAAAAAAAGAAATGATACATTCTAATTTTTAAGGTTACTTTGGACATTTTGCTTCAAATCCTTTTGGAAAATAACTGGGTTTGGATGGTGGATGGTCTAACTCTTGATTGTTTATAGTGAACAGAAATCAAATCTAGAGGGTCTTTTTTACTGATCAAGTTTATAGCACTTAATGCATTAGTTTTACAGGATGAAATACTTTTTTTTTTTAAGGATTTTATTTATTTATTTGAGAGAGAGAATGAGAGACAGAGAGCATGAGAGGGAAGAGGGTCAGAGGGAGAAGGTGGGTGGCTGGCTGTGGCAGTATGGGAGGAAGTACAGCTTGGGATTCTCCAGGGATGGTTAGAACATAGGCAGGCACATTGCTAAATCGACCACTTGTGTGACACATTTGACCACAGCTTGGACAAGGACGAGTTTTCCAAGATGGTCTTCAGTGCCTCCTAGAGTTTGCAGAATTCACTTTCCAAAATGCAAAACTGTTGTTTTAGACTGTGAAGTTCTTGGTGGCAATAATGGTATGGAGAGATGATGTCTTTCAAGACTTCCTAAACTCTGGGCCATGCAGTTCTGGCACCAGCTGTATACAGACCACACTCTCTGTGTCCTAAGTTTTACTGTATCTTTGATATTGGGAGATTTGAAGTTCCAGTTTGATCTCAGCCAGCTTCTGCTAAGGGGTGTTGTCTGTGGAAGGAATAACCACTCTTTCTGGTGACGGTGGCAGAGGGGGAGGTATAATTAGCTTGAACTGAAGTGGGAGGCTTCTCTTTTTTAAATAATCTTTTCACTTCGGCTTTTAGCTTTGTTCTTCATTGTTTGAACTTGGGCATTATTTCAGTCTAAGAGCCTGGGGATTAGATGGAGTTAGGGTAGTGGCCTCTCCCTTGCCATTGTGGCTACACCATTTTACATTGCCATCAGTAGTACACAAGAGTTTCAATTTCTCCACATCCTTGCCACTACATATTATCTTGTGTTTTTGATAATGGCCACCCTAATGGGTATGATGTGGTATCTCATTGTGGTTTTCATTTTCATTTCCCTAACGATGAGTAGTGTTAAGCATCTTTTCATGTGCTTATTGGTCATTTGTCTGTCTTCTTTGGAGAATGTCTATTCAAATACTTTGCCCATTTTTTAATCTGGTTGGTTTTTTTGGTTGTTTTTGTGCTGTAGTTCTTATATATTCTGGATATTAATCCTTTATCCCATATATGATTTGCAAATATTTTCTCCCATTTCGTGGGTTGTATTTTCTCTCTGTTGATTATGTCATTTGGCTTATTACAATTAAAAAAAATTTTTAAATAAAATTTAAATCAGACACCTGACACTTCTGTGGGGAGGAGCTAAGGATTTCTGCACCCCCTCATCCCTATTCTCCTTCCCCATACCCCCACTGAGAAGGGTTCAGAGAATGTAGTAGATACTTCAGTTCTCTTACTTTCTCTTCCACATGAACCTCCAAGAATCTATTCACCTCCATGGAGAAGACAGTGTGGAAGCATGGGAAAAAGAACATATGCAACCGGATATTTATTACAATAAGTAATATAATTTCTAGTGCTTATTATTTTCTCATGCACTGCAAAATGAATTCCATACCCCATATATAGGAGGATCTTAAAGTTCTCTCCTTGAAGGTAGAATAATTTTATGAACTTTTTTTTTTTACCATGAAGTTGAGCTGGTCTGTATCAAGAAATGCTTTTTTCCTAGTTTTAAACAACACTAATGGCCTGCTGTAATATCTGCAATGTACGAAATTAAGCATGAAAGTAAACTGAAGAGGAGACCGTGGCATACTTTTAGCAGAATTCCCCTCTGCAAAGGTAGGAAAACTGTGTATCTACTGAATATACACAACTACAACTAATGAGATTTCTTTTTTTTTTTTAAAGATTTTATTTATTTATTTGACAGAGAGACACAGTGAGAGAGGGAACACAAGCAGGGGGAGTGGGAGAGGGAGAAGCCAGCTTCCCACCAAGCAGGGAGCCCGATGTGGGGCTCGATCCCAGGACCCTGGCATCATGACCTGAGCCGAAGGCAGGCGCTTAATGACTGAGCCACCCAGGCGCCCCGGGGAATGATTTCATTTCTTTCTAAAGCACTCAGTTCAACATCTTTGTTGTCTAATTTACAATTTATATATTTTGCTGGACTTTTATTAATCAACTTTCACAATATATCCAGGATGGAAAGTTCTTTAGATCTTGAGTAAGACAGACAGGGGACACATAAAAGTCAGGCAGTTGCCCAAGTGTTAAAAAGTAAGTTTGTAGAGGGCCTCAGGCCCCCAGCCTTACCTCACCACAGTGCCCCATTGCCTTGCCTCCACGGGGCCAGGCCCCTGCCCACGGTGCCAGGCCCCTGCCCACGGTGCCTGCCTCCCCCTGCATGGGACCCTGCAGCAACCCACCCTGGGTCGGAGTCGTCCTCCCAGCCCCCCAGGAGGAGGAAGAAGAGATACCTGCGGCATGACAAGCCCCCCTACACCTACTTGGCCATGATTGCCTTGGTGATCCAGGCCGCACCCTCTCGCAGGCTGAAGCTGGCCCGGATCATCCGTCAGGTCCAGGCCCCATTCCCCTTCTTCAAGGAAGACAACGAGGGCTGGAAGGATTCCATCCGCCACAACCTCTCCTCCAACCGATGCTTCCGCAAGGTGTCTAAAGATCCAGCGAAACCCCAGGCCAAGGGCAACTTCTGGGCAGTCGACGTGAGCCTGATCCCGGCCGAGACGCTGCGGCTGCAGAACACGGCCCTGTGCCGGCGCTGGCAGAGCGGGGGCGTGCGCGGAGACTTCGCCAAGGACCTGGGTCCCTACGTGTTGCACGGCTGGCCCTACCGGCCGCCCAGTCCCCAGCCGCCACCCAGTGAGGGCTTCAGCATAGAGTCTTTGTTAGGGGACCCCAGGGAGGGGGCACCACGAAGCAGCCCAGGTCCGGCAGGCTCTGGGCACATTGGGGAGAAGGTGATGCCCACTCCACCCCTGCCCTCTGAGAGGCCTCTGTGGCCCCTCTGCCCCCTTCCCGGGCCCAGGAGAGCAGATGCGGAGACTTCCCAGGGCGGAACCAGCAGGCCCTCGCCCCTCTCCCCAGGCACAGAGCCTGGCCCCTCCACTTACTGCGGGGTCCTCCAGATCCTGGGGGACTGTCCAGTGGGAGTCACAGGGCCTCACTTTGGGGGCAGCTGCCCACCTCTTACTTGCCCATCTACACTCCCAATGTGGTAATGCCCTTAGCTCCACTACCACCCACATCCTGTCCCCAGTGCCCACCTTCAACCAGCTCAGCCTACTGGGGGGTGGCCCCTGAAACTCATGGCCCCCCAGGGCTGCTCCGGGATCTAGATGCCCTCTT